TACCACTTCATCACCCCGTCTTTGTGGTGGCCGAAGACTCCGTCGGCGCCGTTGCTCCCGAAGCCGCTGTCGCTGAGATGCATCTCGTGCGACGCTTGGCCTCCAGAAGCTTCCTGGCCAGGAGCCGCTTGGTCGTCACGCTCTCCAGGGGGTCTTTCTCCATCTTGTCGCTCTCCGTGCCCGCTTTCCTGCGAGCCCATCGTGATGCCCTCGGCCAGTTGCGACCCCACGCCTCGTCCTCGCCCTCCTCGCTCTCCTGGTCGGCCGCCACGCTCTTCTTGGCCAGCAACGTTGTCTTGCACCAAGACCGCGGGTCCTTCTTGTTCAGCTGGATCCAGCCTCTCTGAAGCCAGAATGCCGCCGTCCTCGCACTGCTTGATGGGGCCCTCGATGGTGACTTCAGCGAACGACGCTTCTGACTCGCCGACCGCCCCGTCACCTGCTCCAGAGGGACATAGCCAAGGTCCATCTTGTCCTTGAAGCCCTGCAGCTCCCCGTAGCCGAGCCCCATCGATGCAAATGGCTGCTCCCTGTGGCAGGCCGCAAGGCTCCTGAGGTCCAGAGCAAGCGGTGGCATCGCTGTCGCCTGCGAGACCGCCCTTGATGCTGAACCGGCCTCCGCACAGCACCACCTGCCACTCGAGGGTCTCCCCACTGCCGAACTCGAGGTCCTTGAGGAAACGCCCCACGACTTGCTCGGCACCTGCCAGTCCAGCGGTCCTTCGCTGGTGAACAGTTGCACCGCTCATGCCCGCATGGCTCGCCGCGGCAACGCCGCTTCGAATCGCGCCGCTGCAACCCCCGCGCGCCCCGCGCGGGGCCGAAACGGCTCCTTGAGCTAAAATGGCTACGGAGGAGCAGGAACAGGAGCAGAAACAGGATGAAGAGGAGTCACGGCCTCGATGAGGGGAAGGGGGGGACATTTCCTTTTGGTCAACTCGGCGCCTATCGCATCTATCGGGTTCCAGAAGTCGTCCTTCCCCTCCATGTCTTTTCTCTATCTCGCTCTTCCCCCCCCTCCTACCCAGAGTGTACATTTTGACATAGGTTGGGGGGAAGGAGGGAGGAGAGGAGAGGAGAGATGGGAGGAAGGGGATGAGCTGGCATGGGTGGGGGAGGTTCTGCTTATGTTTTTTTTGTAGTGACTCGAGAAGGCCTTCCGGAAAGTCCGGTACAGCTACCACCCGGTGATCGTGATCCCCGTGTTGACCGAGACGCTGGCCAGCAGCGACGAGAAGGCCACCCCTACGACCAATTGCGCAACCCACCCCCTGCTGGCCAGAATTGACGCTGAGGTATCGGGCACCTCCGCTGGGGTTCACTCCGATGCAGACGTCCTTCATCGTCAGAACCCGATCCGCTTCTTCGGAGGTCTGACCCGCTCGGGAGTCGCGTAATGAGATGGCGATACAGTGGAAGCCCATGCCAAGAAACACCCTTCTTGCCTCCAAGGTGCCCTGGGTTTCTTGGGTTTCGATGGCTCTGCCATGGAGAGAGTGACGCCCCCACACCAGCAATCCATGGACGTCGTGGGGTTCCCGGGTGGGGTCTCTTGTGGAGTGTTTCTCAAGGTCGGGCCCCTACTGTTTGTTTGGGGGGGGGTGATAAATGGGGGGTGAGGAGGGTGCACCACCTGGGCCCCGAGGGGGGCCTGTAAGGCACCCCTTTGTGGGGGCCCAGGATGGGCACGACTGGTGCACGCCCCCAACCCCTTCGCTGTGGTAGGTTCATGGTTCATGCGGCGATGCGTCACGGGGGGCGAGGGGCGATAGCCCTGTGCCCCCGATAAGAACACCGGGGATCATAAAGTTCGGGGCCCCGGGGGGGATTAACGATTTGTTCCGGCAAGACGTCACGAAATTTAAAAGACGGAACATGTGGGAACCCGGGATTTATGTGTATTTATGTGTGTGTCCCTGGGCGCCCTTATAATATTTCATACAAGCGTAGAAGTCGTATGGTGACGAGTTGTTCGGTCATGTTTGGAACATTTTTTTTTTGAGCCGGGCGTGTTCGCCATTTTTCCGACCCTGGGATTCTCACAGATCGACGTGGCTCGAAGAATGGCGCAGACAGATGGGGTCTAGTGCTCCAGGCGTGATTCTATACGATGTTGCAAGTTTTTCCGCTATGTCGGATTTCAGGGTTTATACGTTTCCGTGGGTTCCTAGATGTTGGTTTGCCTCGGGATGCGTTCCAGCAGCTGCGCCTCGCCGACACCGCGCGGGTGCCCGGATCACTTTGAACGTCGGTCACAGGGCTGGGAAACATGTACGCGAGCGTAGCATGCGTCCGCGCCGCCGTTGGTTGTTCAAGCGGCCGGCGCTCGATTAGCCCAGATCGTAAGCGCAGTTATGGATCCGCTACTGCATCCGAAAAGAAAACGCCTCCTGGAGAATGCCTCCCACATTGTTCGTTTTAGCACCAGTACTATATTTCACGATGTCTACCTCCTCTCTGCTTGGTGGCGGAGTTGGCCTCACCTGCTTGTGGTCAGCTCTGTCCGCGCTTGGGAACAAACTACTACATCATCTCCGTTTGCGCAGGAACCTAGCACCACTATCTCTGGACCAGCATGGGGACATGCCTCCACAGCCGATTCGCCGACTCACGTTGACAAGCGGACACACCAAAATCAACGCCCGACACCAGACTCGACCCAACATGGAAGCATGACCTACAACTTCTTCTGTTTGGTACTATTTGGCTATGCGTCGGCTGTGCTGCTGGTTACATGCATCGTGGTAACCACCACGACGGATGTGATAACACCACCAGGGGCCGTCATGGGGACCCCGCGGAACGCGTATCGCACATCGAATTTTCTCAAACCATCGAATTTTCTCAAACAAATCACGCGTAGCTTAATTTCACCAACGCCCGCATAACACCGCAACAACAAGCTGCATACCTGCAGCGTGGCTTAGGTTGGGTCGCTCGCACTGTCGCGATGCGGAATTCACCACAAATTTTGAACTACGGCGTGACAATTCAAGGGGTCCACACGGACACTTATATGTATGTATTATATATATACATCTCTCTCTCTCTCTCTCTCTTCAGCGACGAGTTCGAGAACCTGGAGGATGAGCGCCAGCTCACCTCAGGTACTGCGCGAATCCGAAACATGCAAGGACGTCTGGGATATAGCAAGTATCCAGATCAACATATTATTCGGTGCATGGTGCGGGTGAGCGTTCAGCAAAGTCGATGACCGTCCGGGTTGGCTGAGGCGACCGATTAGTGACGTTTTCTTGGGGATGACATGTACGACACTGGTCACCATGCGTTGCTGTACACCTAAGCGTTGCATTCGATGACAGACGTCACGCTGTGCAATCCGTGTTTTTTTGTGATCGTGGTGTCGTAGCTGTTCCTGATTTGTTTCCCCATCTGTCCTCTCCGTCCGTGCCCCCGTCCCTTCCGCGGCTGTGTTTCCGCCGAGGTGGAAAAGGAGGACCTTACGGGCCTTGCAGAGGGGAGGAGCGAAGAGTGAGCAATGAGGGAAGGTTGAGGGAGGGAGGAGGATGAGGACAACGAGGAAGACGAACAACAATGATCAGGACGAGCAGGAGGACCAGGCTTGGGCGGATGAAGAAGAGAATCAGGACGACGAGGATGAGGGAGCGAAGGAGCGAGAAGGGAGGCGGACCGTGCATGGACATTCGATTCGATCTTTGTGGCCCAAGATGCCCTCTGGACCCCCGAAAACAAAAATCGGCCTGACGAGTACCGCATTGTTGGTACCGGTTTCGGTGAAGCTCCCTAGGGGCCACGAGACGTGTGAGGGGTGCGCCGAATTCGGTGGCGCGAACGCATGCGGACCCTGCCACTGGAGCCTTTGGTGGGGCTCCCTGTGAGGCCACAAGACGCAGTCCTGGATGGGGGATACGCATGCGAACGGTGCCACTGGGGCTTTCGGAGCAGCTCCTTATGGGTCCACGAAGCGCTGCCATGGGTGGGGGAGACGCATGCGGACTGCGCCACTGGGACCCTCGGTGGAGCTCCCTATTGGGCCACGAAGCGCTGTCCTGGGTGGGGGAGGCGCCTGCGAACGGCGCCACTGGGACCCTCGCTGGAGCTCCGTATGGGGTCACGAACCGCTGTCATGGGTGGCGGTGACGCATGCAGACCCTTCAACTGGGGCTTTCGGTGGAGTTCCCTGTGGGGCCACGAAGCGCTGTCCTGGGTGGGAGACACGGATGCGAACGGTGCCACTTGGGCTCTCGGTGGCGTCCCTGTGGGTCCACGAAGCGCTGTCATTGGTGGTGGAGACGCATGCGAACGGTGCCACTGGGGCCTTTTGTGGAGCTCCCTATGGGGCCTGCCACTGGAGCCTTCGGTGGAGTTCCCTATGAGGCCACGAACCGCTGTCTGGGGTGGCGTTGACGCATGCAAGCCCTGCCATTGGAGCCTTCAGTGGAGCTCCCTATGGGACCACGAAGCGCTGTCCTGGGTGGCGCTCACGCATGCAAGCCCTGCCAGTGAGGCTTGCTGTGGAGATCCCGATGGGGCCACGAGACGCTGTTCTGGGTGGCGTTGACGCCTGCGGACCCTGCCACTGGAGCCTTCGGGGGAGCTCCGATTGGGTCACGAACCGCTGTCGTGGGTGGCGTTGACGCATGCATGCCCTGCCACTGGAGCCTTCGGTGGAGTTCCCTATGGGGCCACGAAAACGGGGAATGGGTGTGCCGAAATGATGGACATGTGGAGAGCGGAGGCAAGGAGGGGGAGGAGGGGGGAGGGGGCAGCCGGACGAGGAGGAGAGACGCGATGCGCTGTCTCTTCAAAACGAGGACCCAACACCACAGGATGGTTGGAAATGATGGCGTGACGATGGACGGGGCGTGAGTGGGGAGAAACATTCGAACCCTCGAAGCACCGCCCTTACTGCGATCATCGTTGATGTCAGGGGCGTGGGGGTAATTACGAAGGCCTTACGGCCGATGCCGACGAGCCTGGAGACGACCCTGTCGTCTGGGCGCGCCAGCCCTCGCGGATCGGACGGTGGCTGCGAGGCGCTGTCGGACGTCAGAGGCGTTGAAAGCGCGCTTGCCGCGCTCGGGAAAGTGCCCCTCCTCCGTTCTGTGATGGGGAGGAGGAGGAACAGGCGGAGGAGGAGGACAAGGTCGAAGAGGAGGGAATACCCGGTTGTTCTGTAATTTCCTAGTTTGTGTTGTAGTTTCCTAGGAGAGTTTTTGGGGCCTCTCGGGAGCCTCTTGGGGCCTTTGTGGGCTTCCTGGAGGGCCTCTTGGGAGCTTCTCGGGGCTGAGGGCTCGAAATGTCCGTTCGGGTCCCCCGTCTGGGCGCTCTCCTGGAACCGTTTTGGGGGGCCTTCTGTGAATTTGGGAGGCGTCTTGGGGCACTTTTGGGCCGTTTGGGGACCCTCTCGGAGGCCTCTTGGGCCGTGCCGGGGCGATCTTAGGAACCTCTTGGGCCGTCTTGGCGCGTGGGGAAGCGGAAGAGGCGAAAACGCCAAACATCTTTAAAAAACGTCTGGGAAATCCATGATTTGTACCTCTTGGAGTTCTCGTGGGAACGGTCCTGGAGGCCTCTTGGGGCGTCTCGCAGGCCTCTTGGGCCGTCTGGAGGCCGTCGAGGCGTCTTGGACAAATCATTCGGCGATTCGGCGCCCTCTTGGATCGTCTTGGTGGCCTCTGGGCACTTTTGGCCCTTCTTGGGACTTTTTTAGGCTCCGGGATTCCCCGGGGGGGCGGCGCAAAAACCCGGGACCACCCCAGGGACCCACCCCGGGGGGCGGCGTAAAAACCCGGGCCCCCCCCGGGCCCCCCCCCCCGGCTGGGAAGGGATCAAAGGGAAGGGGCTTCCCTTCGACTCAATTACGACGTTGCTAAATTTCGCCGAGGAGGGAACAGACGGAGAAGCCTCTTCCACACGCCGACAGGGCCGGCGGATTTGATTGGGTTTTTCTCTGTGGTCTAATTGAGAAGATCCCTCGACTCTGTAAGGATTTGAATATATGGCCCATCTTCTGGTGGACGAGGACATCCGGGCCACCTCGATGGGGTCGGAATAGATCGGGGCGGAGGATCGCGCCGCATCGCCGATGCATCGCAGATGCGGCTTGATGTGGGGCCCGTTTTTATCCACGCCGACGTTGCCGATGCGTCGCCCGACGCATCGCCGATGCATCGCCGATGTATCGCCGATGTATCGACCCCATCTACTCTGACCCCTATCAAGGAGGTCTCTAGGACATCGAGGAGGACGAAGATGATCAGGAGGAGGGGGAGGACAAGCGGAACGAATAGTGACATAATATACATGAAATTTCGGACGTCCGCGCGGATTCTTCGGATCGGTGTGTGGCCCCCCCGGCGGCGCCTCCGGCGCCGCCCTTGGCGCGCTTCGCGGGCCAGGGAGGGGGATCCAGCGCCGATCCGAGGAATCCGCCCGGACATCCGAGCTGTTTTGTTTTTGTCAATTTGTGTTCCCCTTGAGGATGACCAGGGGTGGGTGGATGAGGAGGACCATGACGACGAGGATGCGAGACATGACCTCACGGCGCACCAGCACTATCAGCTCCAGGGGCGCCCGCCCGCTTTTCCCAACGCAGCCTGGCCGCGCGCGCGCGCCCCGCCCCGCCCGGCGATGTCCCCCGCGCGCTGCGTGTTCCTGTTCGGTTCTAGGGGGATGGAGGAGGTTTTCGGGGGCGGCCAAGAGGGGGGTGATGCTTGTGGGGGGGCGGATAAATGGTGACGGGCGATAATAAACGTCCCCCCCATTAACCCTCTTTTTTAAAATCCCCGCCCACAGGGATTTATCAGTGGGAACGGCGCGGAGGCCGAACTTGATAATCCACGGAAAAGTTGCGGGGATCAAAGTTACGACCATATCATGCTGATTAGCAACAACATCGAAAACGCTGATCATGGCCATGCTGGTCTCACCACATCAGCTTTCGCAATCACGAGCGTGTGGCAGGGCTGTGGGATTCTCACCAGTTTAGATTGCCCACGTTACGACCGTGCGGCAGGGCCACGGGATGCATTACAAACATGGCGTAAACGTCGGAACGACGTTTGGGTAGGGATCAGCCTTCGCCGAGTGCTGATCCCAACCAACATGGCCAATATTCCTCCTGTAATTTCTCGAGTTCCCCGAGATCTCTCGAGTAATCTCTGTGTAGTGCGCCTCTGCGGGCAAGTAGCCACGAGCCTCGAGATCGTCCGAGTCAGGCTTCTGTCGTGCGCCTGGTTTAACCTCCTCCTCCACCATCGTCACCATCATCATCATCATCATCATCATCAGCATCATCATCAGCATCAGCATCATCATCTTCACCATCATCATCATCATCGTCATCATCATAATTCACCCTCCCCGGTCACATCCTTTATTATCCCCGCGGGAACCGCGAACTGTATCATCCCAGGGGGGGTATTACCGCCCACTATCGGTTATCATGGCGGGGCCACGCTATCTCCCCTGATTTCGTGGCGCGTCTTTTTGTCTCGTTAGCGTCCCCGGCCCCCCCCTTGGGCCGCGCGCACGCCGCCGGCCATGATTTGCGCCACCCCCTCTTGGACGCCCCCCTCTTGGCCGCCCCCCTCTTGGCCGCCCCCGAGAGGAGGTTTGCCTACCTCAATTCGGGTCGTTCGGTTGCATCGTCGGGGGGATTCTTCTGTCTGCCAAATTGGCGTCCTTCTGCCCAGCGAGGGCTCGATGCGGATTCGACGCAAATTAGGAGTGGATGCGAGGAGGATCCGACACGGATGCGACACGGATGCGACAATTCCGACATGGATTCGATTCGACGCGGATTGGGCCGCGACGGGACAGACAAGGTCCCCCGAATATGCAACACAAGGGTCGATCGAAGGGGAGGGGGCATTCGGATAGGGGGGTGTTACGAAAACCTCTGCGTGCAGGTGGTCTGACGTGCCCGCCAGGCGCGGTTGCGCCCTACCCCCCCCCCGTGAGTGCTGCAGGGGTCCAGCTCCCCCTTCACGTTGGCTCGTTCCCATCCCGTGCCTTTCCTATTGCGCCCTTCCGTCTTCTCCGATCCGCTCCTCTTGTGTCTCCCCCTCTCCCCGCCCTCGCGCAGGGCGACCGACGAGGACGCCACCATGGGGCGCCCATCGAGTCTGCGAGGGGTGTGCTCTCCCGATTTCGGCAGGCGCCACCAAGACCCCTCGCCACTTCCACACCCCCCCCAAGCTCCCAGTGCAGGGCCGATGGCTCTGGGGCGGCACAGGGTGCAGTTTCCAGTCCCCGTGCCTCCCACCCCCTCCTCCTCCTCCTGCCCCTCCGCTCCTCCTCCTCCTCCTCCTCCTCCTTCTCTTCCTCCTCCTTCTCCTTTCTTCTTATTCTTTTTCTCCTCTTCCTCCTCCTCCTTCCAATGACTCAGCACTCGGAGGTCCTCTCCTCGAGGTCTCGGCCCCCCTCCTTTGGGCCTCCCCCCCCAAAGCCCTCTCCTCGAGGTCCCTCTTCTCCTCCTCGAGTGCCTCCCCGAGGCCCGTCGCCCTCCTCGAGGGTCCTCCTCCTCGAGGGTCCGCCCCGCGGCCCTCCTCGCGAGGGCCTCCTCAAGGTTCTCCTCCTCATCGAGGTCTTCCTCCTCGAGGTCCTCCTCGAGGCCCTCCTCTCGGCCTCGCCTCCCCTCCGCATCGAGACTGCGGAGGGGGGGAAAACGGGGAGCATGGCCGAAACGGAGCAGGACATCGTCGTGCCGACCTTTGCCGGCGCCGATCTTGGGCAGCGTCCGTGCGCGGATCAGCCTCGCGAGTCGGCGACGGCTCGGCGGGGACCATGACCAAGATCGGCGTCGACAAGATCCATCGACATCTGGATCATGGTCGAGAGGAGGGGAACAAAAACGCAGACATAATGAATTGTCGACTCCCAGGAGAATATGGGAAAATATGGGAAGTGAAGTGGGGGGGAAGACGAAAACCCTGAAAACATGGGAAAATATTATGAATCCTGTTATTTGTGTGTCTTGAGCCTCTTGATGCCTACCTCCCTCGCCGAGAGACCCCCCCCCGCTCGAGCCTCGAGGCTCGAGGCTCGAGCCCCCCCCCGCCGCCGCAGCGAGGGCGCCACGGGCCCCGCCGACCCCGCCCCCGCGAGGACGACGGCGACGACGACGACGCCGCCGACGCCGACGACGGCGGAGACGACGACGAAGACGTCGACGAGGCCGCCGACGGGGCCGTCGAGGGCGCCACGGGGCCCCGCAGCCCCCCTCGGCCCGCCCGGCGCACCCCGCCCCGGGGCCAGGCCTCCTCGCCGCGCCCGGCGCGGCCTCGCGCGTCGCCCGGGCGCGCCGCCGGCCCGCCCCCTCTGCGCGCCGCCGCCCCGACGCACACCGCGCCCTCGCCGTCGTCGGTCGTCGTCGTCGTCGTCGTCGTCGTCGGCCTCGTCGTGATCGTCGTCGGCCTCGTCGGCCTCGTCGTCGTCGTCGTCGTCGTCGTCGTCGTCCTCCTCATTTTCTTGATTTTCCCTTGCTTCGCTCGCCTACGCCTGTTGTCATGCGCCGACTTTCAACTTTCTGCACTCACAGACGGCCAGGACTTCAGCGTCGCCCAGAGGCCGAATGATGATGATGATGATGATTATTCTGCTGCTGATGATGATGGTGGTGGTGATGATGATGATGATGATGATGATGATGATGATGACGATGATGATGATGATGATGATGATGATGACGATGATGATGATGATGATGATGATGATGATGATGATGATGATGATGATGATGATGATGATGATGATGATGATGATGATCGTCGTCGTTGTCGTTGTCGTCGTCTGACTCTTCGTTGTTGTCGTCGTCGTCGCTGTAGTCTTCGGCGGCGGCGGCACGTCTCTAGGCCTCCTAGCGAGTTAAGTGGGGCGGAGGATCGCGACACATCGACCATGCATTGCCAATGCGGGGCGATCCTCCGACCCTTTCTAGGAGGCCTCTCTCGTCGTCGGCGTCGGCGTCGGCGTTGTCGCCTTCGTGGAAGGGCGCGGGGGCCAACAGGGGGGGGGGGACGTGGGAGTTGGGGGCGGAGGGGGATGGGGAGGATGGAAAGGGACGGGGGAAGAGCGAGTGGGAGGAGGGAGGGGGGATGGTGCTGGTGCGGAAGCGGAGGAATGATAATGGGCGAGGAGGACGGGGCACGTACAAGACAGAAGGAGGGCTGACAAGGAGAAGGGATGAGGACGAGGATCAGGATAGGGATGATGATGGTGATGTTGATTCTGCTGATGATGATGGTGAGGGTGATGATACTGCTGCTGATGATGATGATGCTGATGACGACGACGCTGCTTATGTTTTTGATGATGGTGGTGGTGATGAACTCCCGAAGGGCGCACGAACTCCCGCGGCAACGCCCGCGGCTGCGCGGGGAGGCTTGCGCACCGCGCGGGGGGGCAGCCGCGGGAAAACGGCCCGCACCCGCGGGGGGTCACGGCGGCGGAGGAGGAGGAGGAGCAGGAGGAGGAGGAGGAGGAGGAGGAGGAGGAGGGGGAGGAATAGGAGGAGGAGGGGGAAGAGGGGGAGGAAGAGGAGGAGGAGGAGGAGGAGGAGGAGGAGGAGGAGGAGGAGGACGAGGAGGAGGAGGAGGAGTAGGAGGAGGAGGAGTGGGAGGAGGAGGAAGAGAAGGAGGAGGAAGAAGAGGAGGACCCCCTCCCCCGCCAACTTCTGGTGGTGGTGGTGGAAAACAGGCCCATCATTGATGCCTCCGGTTCGGATCGATTCGGTTTCGAGGGCTGCCGCTTCCGAGTCGCGTTGGCTGCGGATTCTGATTCGGGCTCCGATATTTTCACGGAGGCCTACTGGCCTGCTGATTTCCGCCGGTTCGATCTTTATCCCGCCTCAGCTGCCGACGTCCACCGATTCGAGTCATTTCGATTGCCGATTTGACTTACCGATCCGATTCTGGGCTATCCTGCCCCCGAGGTTTCCCACCCCTGCTTGGGGCCAGTTTGTCATCCCGAGTTGTGTTCTGACGGTCCCGGGTCCCAGTATGAGGGCCCTGGGAGGCCGAAGAGATACGGGAAATAAACCTCTCCGCCGAGATCTTGGCACGACGCGAGGGGGTATGGGACCCCCCCGCCGCGGGCGCAGGGGCGCAACGCGACGGCCGTGCACAACCCCGGCTTTCCCGACGGGAAGATTGCTCCCGGGCTGGCGGCGGAGGGCGCGGTGGCGGGGGCCTCGGCCGCCTACTTGCGTCCCCCTTTCTAGGCCCCTTTTTCTAGATCAACGTTGATCAAAGCACCGCCCTTCCTGAGATCAACGTTGGTGTCATGGGCATGGTGGTAACTTGATTGGGGCTTCTCTCTGGTGTAATTTCGAATCTTCCTCGACTGTGCAAGGGTTCGAATCTATGGTCCACATACGGAAGCGAGGATCCGGGCCTCCCAGATGGGGTCGGAGCAGATGGGGTCGACGGGACCGCGCCGCATCCCCGATGCATCGACGATGCGGCTCGATGTGGAGCCCGATGTTCCCCACGCCGACGTTGCGGACGCGTCGCCGAAGTCGCCGGTGCATCGCCGATACCTCGGCGGTGCACCGGCGATGCGGCGCGATGCCTCGACCCCGGCCGCTCGGACCCCAACTGGGAGGCCTCTGCCCGTGGAGGCAGCGTTGGTATCCCCTGGCGAGCGCGGGCGCGGCTCTGGGAGGGGCCCTGCGATGCTGTCGATGCTCCTCGGGACGTTTGATCGCCTGATGTCGGCAGTGAGCGAGGCGGGGATCTGAGGAGGAGAAGCAAGGGCGCCCTCGAGGGCGCGAGGTTATTCGCTCTTCGCGGTTGGGCTCCGATTCCTCCTCATCCTCCTCTTCTCCCCTGGGAGGCGGCGCGAGTGCGCGAAGTTATTCGCGCAGCACGAAGCGCGAAGTGGGGAGCCCTCGGAAAAGGCCTTCTCGGAAGGCGGCGGGGCTTCTCAGAAGAGCTCTGGCCTTCTGAGAGCCTTCTGGTGTCTCTGCGGGGAAGGCACAGAACACCTGCCGGATGGCCCTGGAGCTTCCGAGCCTGCTTAGAAAGCCCGCCCCCATCTCACTTCCCCCCGGGCTCGCCGCCAAGTGTTAGCCTGATGTGCGTTTGCCCGATCGGCCTGTGTCGGCCATCATTGCACCATCTGCGTCGTGTTGAAGTGCTTCTGTGGACCAGCACACGTTGGCGCTAACACACGTTCTGAGGATCATCGATCCTAGCGCTGCCATTTTTCCTCCACGCGCGTTTTCGCCTGCTTTTGGGCCCCCAGATCCTCACAGATCCATCTGGACCGAATAGTGACGCACACAGACGGGGTCCGTGATGCTGCTATTTGTGGGCAACCTCAGATCTGACGGGAGGAGGGGGGAGTGGGGCTGGTCGCGATGCGACTCGCGCCGGCGCCGTCTGGGAATGCGCAGGGATCCTTCGTTCCCACGGCGCCTGCGGGAATCGTGACGTGACCAGGGGGGGGGCGGGCGGGGCCAGCCACGTGCGGATCGGGGAAGATTTGCCCGCTCAGAAAGGGAGGGGAATGTGGGATACAGCCCGAGGGGGGCTATTCGGACACACCGCCGCTATCGAGGAGCCCCCCAGCTCGTAGATCCGGGAGTTGGGCCTCCAAGTTTCGGACCAGTCGAAACACCACAAAGTCGGGGATTGGTGTCGCCATGCCCCCCTCATTGGGTTGGGAAAGATTTGAGTTCGAAGTCTGAATTTTTAGGTTTTTCCGGGCGTCATCGTCGGTTCGGCAGCTTTCTGGCCTCGGGGTACTCTCAAGGAGATGCGCTTCGCCGAGGGATTGCTCGGGCTGTCCAGATCGTCCCGAACGGTCGCTAGAGACCAGAGAGAGATGGGTCTAAAACCAGACGGCGATCATCGAGCACAAAAGAAACCGTAACCCTAATACCACGATGAAGACGCGGCCTCACTGATGTCGCTGTCTTCGTATCAGGGATAAGGACTCTGGGCGGTTTGTTTCGATAATCTTCAGAACAGACCCCCTCTATCCGTAATGTTTGTGGCCTCTCCCAAAGGGTTGAGGGCCCTCTTACTGCTAATCAGACGAGGATCAGTTGGGGAGGGTAGGCTCAGGTGGGGATGCGTCGACCCCCAATCGCCCATTGATCGCCGATTGTGGCCCCGTTTACCCGCCCCAACCCGCCCTGGAGTGTGCGGATTCGTTCTCGGGGGCGTACCACCGATTCTCGGCGATGTTCTGCCGAGTCCAGGTCGATCTTTCCGCCCATTAGTTGAATCCCCCCAGCGTTGCCCGTCAGTCTGGCGACCCGGTGTTCGCCCCTGGTGCGAACATCTCCCGGGCCAGTCTTTTCTTCAGTTGCACTGCGTCTCGTACATCGGGCCCGCGTCTGGGGCCGAAGCGTCAGCAGAGTTTCTCCGCGCGTGTGCAGTGCGGCGCGGGGAGATGAGCGTGTCCTCGGCGGTGGGGAAGAGGAGGAGGAGGAGGTGGAGGAGGAGGAAGAGGAGGAGGAAGAGGAGGAGGAGGAGGAGGTGGAGCAGCAGCAGAACGATCAGGAGCAGGGAGGGAGGCAACGGGAATGGGAGGTAGGTGGCTTAGGGAGTGGCAGTGGACATGAGTGTCAGGATGGATGGAGGGGCGAGAGATGGGGAAGGCTGGAGGGATGGAAGAGGCGGCGGAGGAGCGGCAGGTGTATGAGGAGGAACGGTAGAGGACTGAAGGGCCTCAGACAAGATCGGTGCGCTCGCGCCACATCCGGCATCCTACCCCTCCCACCTATCCCGTCGCATTGGGCTTTGTTGCCTTAGCTATCCACAGATGCGTGTCGCAGCGGACCTGGAACTCAAGAAACGACCCCTATCGCGTTCTGCGCAATCGGAAAGGGGAGATCCGGGTACGTAGGAGTTTCGGAAGGATGAGGATGAGGTGGCGGATGATCAGGAGGATGAGCAGGCGGAAAAGAAGGATGAGGACGATGGTGGGGTACGAGGACGAACAGAAGTAGCGGGAATTTGAGCGGAAGGAGCGAGAGGAGCTGGAGGACCATGGAAGGTGAAGGAGGGCAAAGGAGGGGGGACAACGATGAGGAAGGATTCGGACCTAGAACAGAGGTCCGCGCATGAGCGAGATCACCATTATGACCGACGGGAGCAGCAACCTCAAATGAGCCATCGCTGTTTGGGGAAGACCAGTTCGAAGGACAAAACATACTTGGATTCTAAAAACCATCGTTCAGACGAGCGTTGGACATCCTGTGCTTAAAAACGTTACGCGGAGACGGCCGGTTATCTTGTGGACAGTGCCAACGGATGCAGAATTTTGTCATGGTCATGGCGATGGAGGCGTAGTACCGAGAGGAAGGGGGGAAGTGACCCTCCATCGAAAGGCCTTCGGCTCATCCCGCCACCGTGCCTGGGTTGTGGGTGTGGATCGTTGGGATATCTCGGGAGGCCTCTCGGAGGCTTCTTGGAGGTAGTTTGGAAGCCTTTTGGAAGCCGTTTGGGGGCCTCTTGGGACCTCTTTTGGGCCTCGTTTAGGCCTCGCGGGGCCTCTGAGGGGCCTCTTGGGGGCCTCTTGTGGCCTTCTGGGCGCCTCCTGGGGGCCTCTTCGGCCGAAGACTCAGATTTTCGGTTCGCGTTCCCTCTCTTGGGCCCCTTCTATGGCCGTCTTGGGTCCTACCTGTTGGGCCTTCTTGGGCCATCTTGGGGCCTTCTTGGGCCTTCTTGGGCCGTCTTGGGGCCATCTTGGGGGCGTGTTGGGCCGTCTTGGGGGCGAATTGGGCCGTTTTGGAGCGTCGGCAAGACGAACAGGCGAGTAGACCAAAAACAAGGAGACACCTAAGGAACATCAGAAGTCAATGATTTGTGCCTCTTGGGGCCTTCTTGGGGCGTCTTGGAGGCCTCTTGGGCCGTCGGGGGGGCATCTTGGGCGTCTTGGGCAGATCTTTCGGCGATTCGGGGCCGTCTTGGGGGCCTCCTAGCGCCCTATTGGCCCGTCTTGAGGCCTTCTCGGGCCCGAACAGTTCACGCGCCACCACGCGGGGGAGCCCAGAGGGTACGCGACAAGTCCAAGGAGATTCCGGAATTTGGTGTCGGGGCACCTTGAAGATTCTTCAGGACTGGTGATTGAGGCTCCAGGGATCACGCAAAGGACATGAGTACACGCCCACTCCGTGCCCAGAGGCACGGTGGCAGATGACTTAAGATAGTGAAGACATTGTTGAGATTGGTGGTCATGGTGCTGGGCGGTCGGTAATGATGATGCTGCTGATGATGGTGATGAGGATCATAATGAGGATGTGGATGAAGATGATACTGATGCTGCTGATGATGATGCTGATAATGATGATGATCATGATGGTGTCGATGATGATTCTGACAGTGGTAGCGATAATACGGGTATACCATACACTTGACATTTGCTATTCTAGCGGCTATAATACCACACATAGCAACAACCACAAACAACATTGATGGTGCTGGTGAGGATGGTGATGCTGATGATACTGATCATGATCGTGGTGGCAGTGGTGGTGCTGATGGTGGTGGTGATGCTGATGACGATGATGGTGATTGTGATGCTGAATGTGGTGATGCTGATGAATATGGTGATGATGATGGTGATATATGTTGATTAGTGGTTAATGGTGATGGTGCTATTGACGACGATGATGCTGGCGATGTTAAGGCTTATGATGTCGACAATGATGATGATGCCGAAAACAGTGATGTTGGCGATGATGATGCTGATGATGGTGATGATGATGATGCTGATGCTGATGTTGACGATATTGATGGTGAGGCGGATGCTGCTGATTATGATGCTGCGGCTCATGATGATGTTGATGCCGATGGGATTGATGACGCTGGTGTAGGAAATGATGTAGTTGATGACGATGGTGAGGACGATGATGCTTCGGCTGAGCATGATGGTAATGATTGTGATGCTGATAATGCTGATGCAGCTGCTGGTGGCTGCAATGGCTGTAATGGTGGTGCTGGTGATGATGATGTCGCTGCTGATGAGGATGATGCTGATGGTGAGGACGATGCCGATTATGATGATGATGATGACGGTGATGATGTTGATGATGGGGCTGCTGATGACGAGGATGCTGATGGTGATGGTGATACTGATGGCGATGATAACGGTGATGATGAAGATGGCAATGATGAGAGTGTTTGTGATTCTGACGATGATGCTGGTGCAGATGGTGATGATGAAGATGTTGAGGATGATGGTGCGGATGATGATGAGGATGGTGATTATGAGGCTGCTGTTCACGCGACGTTGATGCTGATGATGTTGAGAATGAGGTTGGTGCCCTTAGCGATGATAATGGCGACTGTTTTGATGGTGGTACCGATGTGTCGGCGGTGTTGATGATGACGGTGGGAGTGGTCGTGATGATGATGCTGACGCTGATGCTGATGTTGGTACCGATGCTGCTACTGCTGCTGCTGCTGTTGCTGATGCTGCTGCAGCTGATGATCATGATGATGCTGATGCTGATGATGATTAGGATGACGGCGACGACATTGATGATGATGATGATGATGATGATGATGATGATGATGATGATGCTGATGATGATGATGATGATGACGATGATGATGATGATGCTGGTGCTGCTGATGATGATGCCGATGCTCATGATCATTATGATGCTGATGAGGATGGTCATGGTGCGGATGATGATGATACTGATGCTGCTGTTGATAATGCTGATGATGATTATTATGAAGATGCTCATGAGGATCATGATGACGATGATGCTGCTGATGATGATGCTGATGATGATGATGATGATGATGATGATGATGATGATGATGATGATGTGCCGCACGACGGGCAGGGAGCAGGAGGCGGAATGGAGGAATGATGAGGGTGGGACGGGACAGAGGAAGCACAATGACGACACGGAAGAGGAGCAGGAGGAGAAGGAGGAGGAGGAAGAGGACAGGGCGAGGTGCCCTTGTGTCATCCCACTTTGTTTCTCTTGGGCGGGGCCTTGCGCTCTCCGCCCCGCCGAGGTGATGCGGCTCGAGGCCAGGGCGATGATGGAGGTCTGCGCCCCCCCCCACGCCGCTCTAGCACTCCTCCGCCCGTCCGCACACCATGCCATGTCACCCTGGCTCCTCTAGGGGGCAAGCAAGCACACCACAGCTCATGAAGCCCTGACGCGACGCAGCGGTCCTCTTCCACGATAGGTGCCCTGCGATTTCTGGTTGGCATGGCGGGCGAACGCCCGTCTACTTTTTAACTTGGCCGGCCGCATACTCGCCAAACATGGCGCACCGCCGCTGCAACCCTCACTGCTCGCGGGGGAGATTGCGGAGAACGACGACGATGACGACGACGACGGATACACCTACAGGTAAGGTCAACACCATCACGGACTGGACGGCCCTGGCTGGCCTTCATCCGACGATGCCAGGCATGCGCACATCCTTTACGGAGGTCCAGATTAGCAGATGCACCCCCGATCCTCACAGCATTGAGGAAGAGGGAGGAAGACGGGGGGATGCGGAGTAGGGAGGATGACGATTCCGAGCGGGGATGACGAGCTTGACCCCTGCCCCCGCCAGGACCCCGACTACAATCACGCCCCTCCCCTCGTCAACTCTGACGACCACCCGCTCCAGCGCTCCTCTTGCGTTGCCGCCTGGCGGGCGTCGCGGCCGTGGTGGCTGTATCCTCGTCGCGGGCGGCCCCCCCTCTCATTGCCCCTTGCCCAGCCCGCTTGCCAGCAGTGACACGTGAGCTGGAAAAGTGATGGTGGCCAGCCCTTCCACGCTTTCCAGCCCTGGCCAGTCTCCTTCGATGTTGTTCCCATCCCTGGCGGCCACATCCCTGCCAGTGCTTCCAAGTTCCGCTTGCTCCAGCTTCCCTGTACGTTCCTTCCTCTCCTCGATCCTTACCCGTTCTCCCTTGCCATTCACCCTTGACCTGCCTCGTCCCGCCTCCCGCCTGCGCATTCGCTCTCTTTTGCATGTTGCTCTCTCCTTGCTCCTGTGGCTGGCAGGGCAGCGCCCGCTGCCAGGAGCAGGAGCTCGGGCGAAGTCATGGTTTGGTGGTGCCGCTTCTCAGACCTTTCCGTGGCGGAGGAACAGGAGGATGAAGACGAGGAAGATGGAGGCGCCGATGGGCAAGTTCCCTCCCGAGCGGTCCTCCGAGCAGCTTGGCGAGGCTGCTTTTAGTGCGCGTGCGCTATCGATGCCGCTCCCTTTTGCCTCTGAGAGCCCCCTGGGCGCGCGCTCGCGTTTTAACTCTCGTTCTCTCTTGTTCTTTCTTTTGCTCCCCGACGCCGTGCCTATCTGCCACCTAGGGCTCTACGGTAGCAGCTAGGCGCCACGCCAGCAAGTATCCGCATTGCGCCAACGCCAACGCGCTGCCTACCAATGAAGGGGCTGAAGGAGAAGGAAGAGGATGAGATGGACTTGGAGAAGGGCGAGTAGCAGGATGAGGAGGAGGAGGAGGAAGAGGAGAAGGAGGCGGAGGAGGAGGAGGACGAGCACGACGACGACCACCAGGATGACGACGATGACGTCCAGGCAAGAGGAGGTCGTCAGTGGCCATCTGGGCCCGCCCGCACACGGACTGCGGGCGCGAGCGACCGGCCTCGCATCCCCGCGGCCCCCCTCTTTCGCGCCATGGTCCTCAACAAGCTGTCCGCGCTCATGGGCCCACCCGCGCTAGCCCCAGAGGACGTGTCCGCGCCGCACGAGCTTTCGGAGGCGCTCTCCATCTGGTCCCGCGAGGCTCGGGAGGAAGGGGCCATACAGTCAACCCGCATGTGCAACCTTCCCAAAGGTACCCTTTGCATCCTTGCCTCTTCGGTCCATCGATGGCTACTTTGGTTAGCCGCGCCCTGCTCGAAAAGTTTCGGAATGGGCGCCCAAGGCCCTTGCATCCTTACCGCGCATCCTTACGATAACGAGTCGTCTGCACTGCGGCCAAGACTTCGGGTCAGGACCAGCTCTGGGCTCCAGAGGGGCCCTGGCTTGCGGCCTCGGTCGGCTCGCGCAGTGCCGACGCGGCGGCGACCCCGGCGCGGGCGTTCCGGGATGGCCGCCGCGAGTGGCCTGGTATCGGCTGGTACCGAGCGGTCCGCGCTGTCGGCGAGCTGCGGCCTCTGAAGTCAGGGGGGTAACAGCACACATGCAACATAGGAACATAATATAGGAAAACACGGGACGTGGGGGCGGGTAAGTCGAACATCAAGCACATACGAGAAAATATTGGAGAGGCCTGACGGCCGGTGCCGCCGACCCTGACTGAAAGGGCTAGGAGTGGGGGGAGGAAGCGGAGGATGAGGAGGAGCAGGAGAAGGGGGAGGAGAAGGAGGAGGAGGAGCAGGAGGAGGAGCAGGAGGAGGAGCAGGAGGAGGAGGAGGAGGAGGAGGAGGAGGAGAGGAGGAGGAGGGAGGAGGAGGAGGAGGAGGAGGAGGAGGAGGAGGAGGAAGTGCATCTTTTGTGTGCCCGCTCGAAGAAAGTGCGTCCCGGGAGTGTGATATTCTGACTTGGGATGTGCTCCCCGAAGAGGAAGAAGGGCATCTCGGGCGTGCCCGCTTTTGGAAAATGCGCCCTAGGGGGGTGGTATTTTGACTCGGGGCCCGCTCCCGGGACGCCTCTGCGGGAGGAGGAGGAGGAGGAGGAGGAGGAGGAGGAGGAGGAGGAAGAGGGGGAGGAGAAGGAGGAGAGGAGCAGGAGGAGAGGAGGAGGAGCGGAGGAGGAGGAGGAGGAGGAGGAGGAGGAGGAGGACGAGGAGGAGGAGGAGGAGGAGGACGAGGAGGAGGAGGAGGAGGAGGAGGGGAGAGGAGGAGAAGGAGGAGAGGAGCAGGAGGAGGAGGAGGAGGAGGAGGAAAAGGAGGAGGAGGACCAGGAGGAGGAGGAGGAGGAGGAGGAGGAGGAGGAAGTGCATCCCGTGCGTGCCCGCTCGAGGAAAGTGCGCCCCAGCGGGCGTCGTATCTGCCCTGGGCCCCCCCCCACTCCCCTCCCCCCCCCCTGCGGGGAAGGGATCAAAGGGAAGGGGCTTCCCTTCGACTCCGCTACGACGTCGTTTAGTTTCGCTTTGGATAGCGCGCTTAAGGAGGAGAGCCCTGGGAGGGGGGGAACGGAGACGACGGAGACGTCGAGTCGAACGGAGAAGCCCTTCACACACGCCGACAGGGTCGGCGGATTTGGAATCCTGGGATTTGTGTCTATTCATTCGTGTGCCCGTGGGCCCCTTGATTACGGCCGAACGATCCAACGCCGACCGTCGGATACCAGCGCCAACGCCGTCGCGGCACGAGTTTTTGCCCCGTGGTGGTACTCACGCTGATGCGCTGCTCTTGTGGCTTCCGCGGGTCCCCCCGCCGCTCCAGCCGCGCCCGAGCCCCAGAGCTCTGGCCGGAGCGCGCCCCGGGAGAGGTCCGTGGAGCCACCGCATTGTTTTGTTTATTGTTAAGTTTCCCCAGGGACGGCTTCTTCCTCCTCCTCCTCCTCCTCCTCCTCCTCCTCCTCCTCCTCATGCGTTCTGTTCTCCCCCGCCTCCCTCGCGCCTCCGAACGTTTCTCGCTCCCCAGCCTCATCGTCCCTGTCGTTACCCCGTCTCATCCTGCGCCTTCCTCCTCATCCTCAGCGTTGGCCCCATTCTTCTCATCATCGTCCCTTTTTTTCGCGGCAGACTTCCCGTCCTACACATCTCCTCGTCTTTGCTTCCTGCCTTGTGCTCCCTGTCCTCCTCCCCCCCTCCACATCCTTGCTCTCGTCGTCCTCCTTCCTCGACGTCGTCCTCATCATCATATCAGCCAGCGTTGACTCCAAATCAATAGGAAGACAGGAGGAGGACGAGAGGAGGGTGGGAGGAGGACGAACACAGGATGGGAGCAGGACGGCAGGAGGACGGGAGGAGCAAAATCAAGCAAGCGCAAGCGAGCAAGCGGAAGCAAGCAAGCGCAGCGAAAATAAACGCAAGCAACAGCCAGCGATCAAGTGCAAGCAAGCAAGGGCAAGCAATCGCAAGAAAGCGAGAGCAAGCACGCAAGAGCGAGCAAGCAAGTGCAAATGAGCACGCAAAAGCAAGTAAGCAAGCACGCAAGAGCAAGCAAGGAAGTGAAAGCACGCATGTGTAGGAATACATACGAGACCGATAGGCATAGGCATACGCATGGGAACGCTGAGAGGTGGTGAATAGGCATAGGCATGGGTATTGGCATAGGCATAGGCGTAAGCGTAGGCGTAGGCATAGGAGTTAGGGGGGAGGCATCGGCATAGGCATAGGCATAGCCATAGGAATTAGGGGGGCATAGGAATTAGGGGGGCAACGGACCAATTAGTAGAGAATGAGTTAGAACTCCTATAGATCAAGCCAATTTGGAAAATCTTGCTCCATTCCTCCATTCCTGCTCCCTTCCTCCCTCCTTTCCCCCCATCCCTCCCTCGCCCTTCCCTGCCCCTTCCTCCCCCCTTCCGGCGCCGCGACAAACATGCAACCTCGTGAGCAGACGCCGTGACAGGAGCCAGGGGCCCCATGCTGCCGCGGCATGCTTCGATAGCCGGCCCGAGCCGTGCGGGCTCCAGGGCCCGAGGGAAGGCAAAGACGCCCAGGAATCCCTGGATCTCAGGGTCCCCGCTTCCTCCGCGGGAGGGGCTCGTGGTCGTCGTCGCCGTCGCCGTCGTCTGCGTCGGCTTCGGCATGTGCGTCGCCGTCATCGTCGCCGTCGCCGTCGTCGGCAGCGTCGTCGGCAGCGTTGTCGCTGTTCCTCTCGAGCTTCTCCTGGTCCTCCTCGCGCCTCTCTCCTCTCTCCTCGTCGGCGTCGTCGGCGCTCCTCCTCTCGGGCTTATCCTGATCCTCTTGCCTCTCTCCTCTCTCCTCCTACCTCTCATCCTCCCCCTACCCGACCACAGGGAAGCCCTTCTGAAAGCGAGACCGCATCGCCCAGGGACAGCCCAGGCTAGGAGCGGCTTCACTCGCCGCCGATAGTTGAGAGTCAACTTTCAGGGGCTCTAACCGGCAGAATCCAGCAGAATCCCGTCGTTCGCCTCCGCCCGGGCCCCCCGAGGCCGCCCACGCTGCCTCGCGCGGCGCGCGCGCGGCGGCGTACGCCATGGAGCAGGCGGACGTGGCCAGGAGCACCGCGACGCAGGCCAGGGACATGCTCGGGGAGATCCAGGCAGGCACCCCTCTATTTTCTGTTGGCGGTGAGGAGGAGGTGGTGGATGATGATGATGATGATGATGATGATGATGATGAGGAGGAGGAGGAGGAGGAGGCTAAGCTTGTGCCTGGAGTGTTCTTCGGCAAAAAAGGTCTCCGGCTCAGGCAATATGTCACGTTCGAAAGGAATAGGGGAAGAGTAGAGTAGCCCAGATGGCACCCCGTCACGTCCGAGACCTCCCTCCCTCCCCCCCCCTCCCCCTTCCCCTCCTCGGTAAGACTTCGGCATCCCGCAGGTAGTCCCTGCTGGCCTCAACAGGCCCTCCGAGTAGTCCCAGCTGGCCTCCGCAGGCCCCCCGGCGGTCTCAACACCACGGCGCCGCATACGGCGGTGTCTCTGGGGCGCTCCGCGCCCCTTGCGGACTACTCGGGGGGCCTGTTGAGGCCAGCTCGGACCACCTTGGGGGGGGGGGGGAGCTGTCTGTGCACATCCCGAAGCCTTACCATTCCTTCAGGATTCTCCTGAGGTTGTCGCTGATTCTTGAAGGTTTTCTCACTTCGGGAGGGTTTCCAGCACCTGCGCGTCGTCGGGAGCGTTCCGGGGGGTACCTGGACCGGCCCAAGGAGGCCGCTGGAGGCCCAAGTGATGGCCCAGAATCCAGTCCTCGGTTTGCGAAAACAATGCTTTGGGCCAGAGTTCGGTTTCTAGGGGCCCATACGGCTCCCCAGGACCGTCGCGAAACGGCTTGGTATGAAAGACCGGTCCCATGGGGAGTGGTCTCAGCCTCCCGGGGTCCTCGTCGTGCAGCAAAAAGCAGACAGTCTGGGCTCCCCCGCCTCTGCCTCCCGCTCTCCTCCCTGGTCTTTCCTTTCTTCCTGCAGTACCAGCGCGCAGGGCCAGGCCAGGTGGCACTCCCGAAGGGTGCCCTTGCATCCTTGCCTCTTCGGCTCGCCGTCGGCCACAGCTCGGGTCAAAAGAGGCTTCGGCCTGGGCGCCCAAGGCTCCTGCATCCTCACCCCTGTGCCCGTATCCGCGGGAGCGCGCCCTGGAATCCAGACCGCGAGGGTGATGATGCGGATATGTTCGCCGCTCGTGATGGTGGGCGTCGTGAGACACTGCAGCGTTGGGAGTTGCCACATGGGAGGAGGGAGGAGGGAGGAGGAGGAGGAGCAGGAGGAGGAGGAAGAGGAGCAGGAGGAGGAGGAGGAGGAGGAGGAGGAGGAGGAGGAAGAGGAGGAGGAGGAGCAGGAGGAGGAGGAGGAGGAGGAGGTGCCCCCAGGACTTCCGAGGGAGCTCCCCACGGCCCGCGGAGCCACCCCCCGCGAGCCCCAAAAGAGGCCCCATGGGGTCTCCAGGATGGCGCGAGATGCTGCCGGGGGCACCCTGAAGCGGGGACACCCTTCGGCAGCTTGTGAGGGCTTGATTTATATGCCGCGTCGTTTGGTCTTGGCCAGGGGCAACGGGCTTCGGAACGAGATTTGCTTGCATGGACGTTCCAGCACCCCGCACACAGGGGAAGCCGAGACGTCCACCCTCACCGAGCTCCTTGGCCGACCACACGGCTCGGCGCATACCTCGAGGCCCTCCCAGCAGCACCCGATGCATCATCGACGATCATCAGGACGCGTCTTAGCCAGAATGTGTGTGAGAGTGTGTGTGGTTGTGTGAGTGTGTGGGTGTGAGTGTGAGTGTGTGTGTGTGAGTGTGTGAGTGAGTGTGTGCGGGTGTGAGTGTGTGTGTGTGAGTGTGTGCGTGTGTGCGTGCGTGTGTGCGTGCGTGTGTATGTGTGTGTGCGTGTGTATGTGTGTGTGTATCTTGAAGGGCTCCTGTGGAACGACGTGGGCGCTAATACACGTTCTGAGAGTCATCGACAGGAGGGCGGGCGATAGTTCTATCCACATCCAGTGCGTCTCGGAGTTTGGGGCGCTCGTTCCCAGCAACCTGAGGCGCACTGGATATGGATTCGCTCTGACCCCAAAAAGTCTGGATTCTGATCCAGATCCAGTGCGCCTCGGCCTCGCGGCCCCCCTTCCCAAAAAGTCCAAGACGCTCTGGACATGGATAGAAGTCTTGCCCGCGAGGAGAGCCCCTGCTTCGCGCACGCGGACCCCTCCACGACACCGCCGGACGCCTCGCTGGCGGGCCTCGGCGGGCGGGCCTCGCTGCCGGCGTTGGCGCTCGTGGGCTGCCGACTGGCGCAGCGACGTCAGGCCGCCGCGGCGGGCAGAAGAGCACCAGACCCCCTCGAGCAATGGAGAAAATCAGGACGAACATCTTTTCGCCATTGTCGGTCTCTGGGGGCCTCTCCTGGGCCCCCGGTCCCTCAGCAAAACGACTCGGGATGAAGAACCGGTCCCGGGGAACAGTTCGAAACCTCTGTGGGTCGACGCTGCGACAAGACAATTACGTCGTGGGCCTGGTGACGACGGCGGCGGCGGCGGCGACGACGCCACGGTTCGCGCCGGCGCCGTCTCGGAGTGCTACAGGGAACGGTGGCATCTTCCCTGACGGTGTTGGCGCGAAGCGTGACGTTGCCAGGGGGGGGGACGCGGCGAGGCCAGTAACGTGGTGTCGCAGGTCATGAAGTTCGGACTTTGCACTGGTCCGGAATCGGATTTTGCACTGGTCCAGAATTGGCTCAATCCCGCTGAATCTGGCTGAATCCCGCTTCATCCGGCTCAATCCTGGTTGATTGAGGCCTACTCTGGCGCAGCGGCCCCCCAATGGGGCTGACTCCTCCCTGGGCTTCCCGACGAAGACCCCCCAGCAGTTGCCTCCTACATGCAGAAGTGGTCTCCAGCCTGCGCGCGTGGTGGAGCCGACCACTCCTTCCGCCACGGCCCACGGCAGACATCGCCGCGGAGCGGCCGCCCGCCCGCTTCTGAGCCGCGTGCGGCAGCGGCCGCGGTCGAGCTGGAGAGCTCCCCGGGCGCCACGGGGCTGCGCGCGCCGCGGCCCTCGCAGGGCCAGCCTGCAGCAGTGGCAGAGCGCGTCGGCCTGCCTGCCGGCCCAGGTTGCACGAGGTGCCCCGAGCACACGTCTGGCCATGAGGGAGTCCTGTGTCCATCGGTCGGGTTCGTGGTCTGAGGGCTTGGTGTCTGTTCGGAGAGCATGCTCTTGTTCAGAGGACGGTCGGTCCCTGCTCAGACCATCGGGCCTCCCGGCAGCCGGGGGGAGCCGCGGGAAGCCAAGGGAAGCTGCCGGAAGCTCATGCGGTTCCGAACAGAAGTCCAGGAGCGAAAACACGCTCTCGACACGGGGGATGCCGGTCTCTCGAGTGCGCTTGGCCTCGCGCGAAAATTGCAAAGTTCGTCGCATGACGCGCTCCTTCGCGCTCCTGATTTTCACCCCCCCCCTTTGATATCCCCCCCTTTCGCCCGACCCAAGGAAGGCCTGAAGGGCACACCGCGGTCTCAGACGTCCCCGTCGCCAGCGTCCGCTCGTAGGGAGCGCATCAGCTATCTCTACTCGAGGGCTGCGCCGCAGGCCATGCCGCGGGGCGTCGCCGGGACAGGCGACGGGGAGCCACGGAGGAGGCGTCGCGGGGGCGGCGACGACGGGCACCGGCGAAGGTCTGCGCGAGATCCCTCCCTCCTCCTCCTCCTCTCCTCCTCCTCCTCCCCTCTCCTCCTCCTCCTCCTCCCTCCTCCCTCCTCCTCCTCCTCCTCCCTCCTCCTCCTCCTCCTCCTCCTCCTCCTCCTCCTCCTCCTCCTCCTCCTCCTCCTCCTCCCTCCCGGGGTCCAGCGTGGACCGGAACGTCGCCTCGCATCGGCGCGAGGCCGTCGTTCCCCGAGCGGGCTTGCCGATGGTTTCTCATCTGGTCAGAGGTTGGTGCCTCCTGCTGCTGCTCTGGCCGTGGCTCGGAGGTGCCGCGGGTTCGTCGGTTTCCTCGGGTTCCGTGGTCTCGTTCTTCCGGTTCCTGGGCATTGCAAAGTAATGCCAGGCAGTGCCAAGCAACGCCAAGCAATGCGAAGCGATGCCAATCCATGCAAAGATAAGCCACACAATGCAAAGCTGTGCGAGTTGATGCCAAGCAGTGCCAAGCTTTGCCAAGCAAAGCAAAACAATGCCGAGCAATCGCAAGCAACGCCAAGCAATGCAAAACAATGCCATGCAACGCACCCATGCAATAGTATATGTTTTCACTCAATTGGGGTTGCGCCGGGTGTATTGTTTGGAATGGGGGGAGGGCGTGGCCAGGCCCGCAAGGAAATCTGGACGTCTCGCACGTCGGGGCAAACTTGCACGCATTTTCGGCCCAGAGCTGTTGTGGAACAGGCGGCGGAGGGCGTGGGAGTTGCCATGCAAGTCAACTTGTTTGAGTCTACAGGAAAACAGCCTCTCCCCCCTGGGGTCCGTCCTCCCAGGGTCCGTCCTGGATTAATTGCGTTCTTTGCCACGAAGCCCGAAAACGACGTCCGCCTTGTTTGTTGTTGTTTGAAGATGTTGTAGGCCTGTGTACCCAGGGAGGACATTAATTAGCTCACATATGGTTTTGGCACGCTTTTATAGCCACATCCAGCCGTGACGACGAGTGCTTTCAAACACATCGCAAATAGGGCTGGAGTAGATGGGGTCTGAGGATAGCGCCCCGCCGCCGAAGCATTGGCGATGCTGTCCGATATTCTCCGCGCTGATGTCGCCGATGCATCGCCGACGTCGCCGATGCATTGCCTGTGCAACACCGATGCATCGGCAATGCATCGGCGATGCGGCGCGACCCCCTGACCCCATTCGCTTGTGGCCCATGTGGCCCATGTGGGAGGAGGACGAGGCATGAAAGGAGGAGGAGGAGGATAATGGAGGAGGAGAGTGGAGGAGGAGGTGGAGGAGAAATGGAAAGAGGAGGAGGAGGAGGATGAGGTGGTGGAGGAGGAGGAGGAGGAAATGAACGAAGGAGGAGGAGCAGGAGGAGGAGCAGCAGGAGGAGGAAATGAACGGAGGAGGAGGAGAAGGAGTTTGCGAAGGCTGCCGCCCTGACTGGGAGCTCAGTGCGAATGGGGAGCTGCTTGGCCAGGGAGGGGGGGGAGGGGGAGGAGGAGGAGGAAGAGGAGGGGGAGAAGGAGGAGGAGGAGAAGGAGGAGGAGGAAGAGGAGGCGGAGGAGGAGGAGGAGGAGGAGGAGGAAGACGAGGGGCAAGATGTCAGGCGTTGCGCAATGGGGGAGGGGCGATAGAAGGAGGGCGGTGAAGAAAGTTGCCCATTTGTTGCCCAAGGGGCCCCCTCTTTGGCCCGAAAGGGGCAAGGAGGGTGCTCGTTTCTCCCCCCCCACCTCGTGTGTCGCCCACCCAATTCAGGAATGCCCGAGAAGGAGGAGGAGGAGGGGGAGTGTGAGGAGGAGGAGGAGGAGGAGGCGGCGGCAGATACGTGTCCCCACAGGCGCGGCCCCACTGGCGCCGCAGGGTGCGGCGGGCGTGGCGCCACGCCCACGGCGCATTCCTGTGACCCGCCGGCCCACGCAGCCGGCAGGGCGCCGCGGACAGCAGGGGCAACGCTATAGGGGCGGATGGGCTCGTGGGGGGGGATCGCATCGACCCCGAATCGCCCATTCCGATCAAGGGAAACGCGCATCAACAGAAACTGTCACATCTCCGCGCGGAGTTCTCGGATCTGCGCTGGATCCGCCTGGCGGCGCTGCAGCGCCGCCTCCGGCGCGCTCCGCGTGCCAGGGAGGAAGGGGGGGGTCCAGCGCATAGCTAAGACGTCCGCACGGACCTGCGGCAGTTTCACGTTTGAGCAGTTTTTTGTTTGGCTCGTCCCTTCATGGTAGCCCCCGCCCCGCGCAGGAACATGCGGATTCGTTTTCGGGGGCCCGTCGCCGATCGGTCGGCGATCTTTCGCGGATCATTTCGATGTTTTCCGCCACCGCTGAGCCAGTGGCCCCCTAGCGTTCCCCCCGCAGACCAGCGCTCTGTTCGCGACCGTCGCGGCCGCCGCCAAAGGCATCCCCTGATCCCCGTCGCCATCGCCGCCCCAGACTTCGGGCAGACCCAGGTGTTTCTAGTCCAGGCGCATCTTCTGCGTGTTTCGGCCAGCATGGGCTGTTCTCACTCCCCGGGTGCAGCACACACACACAGACACGGACACGGACACAGACGTACAGACACACAGACACACACACAGACACACTCTCTACGTCGGCGGCTGGGCAGAGATCACTGCTGAGGCGATCTGGCATCAGTGGGGCGCGCCAGATGCAAATCACACATACACACATACACACAACACACACACACACAACACACACACACACAGACGCACACACACACACACTGATCCAGGACGGGAAGTTGCCCCTCCCCCTCCCCCCCCCAGGGATGAGGGGTTGAGGCTTCTGGGGCCTGCGGGTTTAAAGTGCCAATATGTCTGTCTCCAGAGTCATGGAGGACCTCAAGAGTAGCCTGGGGACAGATAGTGAGCGGATTTCGCTTCGACCCCTGGCAGACTCGAAAGAGTCGCACCAGAGGCCTGTTCGTTAAGTGAGACTGTTTGGAAGCTCCTTGTAACATGTTTTTTCGTTTGGTGTTTTTCGTGGCGCTTCGTTTTCACTAACTGCGTTCATTGGTGTTTTGTGCCTTTCAGTTGCTTGATAAGTTCTTTTGGTGGCCTGTGGTGGCTTTTGCGTGCGTTCGGTTACTTTGTTTGTAGTTTTGGTGTTTTCGGTGTCGTTGCGGGGGGACAAGGATCGTCCCGGAGCCACCAAGATAAAGCGGTGTACGGTTCAACTGTGTCCCCCCCAAAAGTGCAACCATGATGTGACATCATGATTGCAGTTTACCGCGTCCAGGAAGAGCGGGGAAGAGAAGCTTTTGTGATACTGGAGTGGTCCTGGCTGACTTCCGCACCTTTGAATGTGTTTCATGTAATATCATGCCTTCGGTCTGTGTCCCGTTCTTTCCTTTCCTTGTCTCGCCTTCCCTCCACTCTGGGGCTTCTCCCTTTCCAGTTTCTCCCGGGAAATTTGTTGTTGCGCCTCTCTCTCTCTCTCTCTGTTTTTCTCTTTTCTTTCACTCTCTTTCACTCTATCTATCTATCGATCTCTCTCTCTTTCTCTCCCTCTCTCTCTCATTCTTCCCCTCTCTCTGTGTCACGCTCTTTGAAACTCTCTTTCTCTCTTTCTCCCATCCCATCGCTTCCTCTACCACTTTCTGAATCTCCCTCTCTTTCTATCACTTCCTCTTTCTATCTCTCCTCGCACTATCTCTCTATCTCTCTGGCCTCCCGTCCCGGCGTTTCCCTTCCCTCTCGCGTTCTCGCTTCCTCTTTCCCCCGCTGCTCTGTTCTTCCTCTCCCCCCCTCTGTTTATTCCCCAGATCGTGCTTGCATGTAGGGGTTCTTACTTCTGGAATAAGGAACTGGGCCTTTGCGTCGGCCTGGCGGCGATGTTGTCGTGATCGCCGCCACTCGCCGACTCGTCGCCGCCCATCGTCAAGGCCTGTGAGTCGGTCTGACCGCTATGTTGTCGCCATCACCGCTCCGTCGCCATCTCGTCGCCGTCCCGTGTATGGGCCGGCGTTGCTTCGCATTTCTGTTGCTGTGCTTTGCGTTGCATAGCTCTGTATTGTTCATTACTGCATTGCTTTGCATGCGTTGCACTGCGTTGCATTGCATTGCATTGCTCATTGCTCTGCATCGCTTTGCATGACTTGACCTTCCGTTGTGTTGCTTTACATTGCTTTGCGTTGCGTTGCATTGCTTCGCACTGCCTTTTACAAAAATTGCTCCACACAGATTGAATAGCATATATTGCTCACCACGCATATTGCACTACACAGTTTTCACCACATAGTCTCCACAGTATACTTTGCACCACGTTGATTCTCTTTTCTAAAAGAGTATTAGGGTCCCCCTCTCGAGATGAAGGGGACCGCTTTTCATATTGCGTTGTACAAATGATTATGCCCCATCGTACAGTCCAGTATCCCACCCCCTAATCCTCTACAAACATGCTATGCGCGCGCACCCGTTCATCAAACAGCATCAGGGTTCAAGGGTCTCTTGCAACAAATGGGACGGATTGCACGCGCGCGCGTCGTCGCGCGCGCATGCCGCAATCCTTCAACAACTTTTTAGGTTTCGTGAGGATTTCATATTCTAGCGTCTCGAAACCATTCAAAGTTTTTGGTTTGGCAACATCCGTTTTCCAAAAGGGGCCTGCGCTCGCGCTCTTGCGAGTTTTTCCGAAATCCATAGGTTTGCTTCGAACATTCTCATGACATTCGTCCAACATGCCTCCCGCGCCGCATGTTGAACTCATTCGAACGCCCTTGCGCGCGTGCTGGGGGGGCACGATCCGCGCCTAAAAACACTGGGGGCAACTCTCGCGCCTCGGCTGCGTGCGCATGACGAACTCCTCCCAAAACTCTCACCACCGACGCGAGGACCCCGTCATCGTCGCCGGCGCGGTCAGCATCGGCGCAGTCATTGGCCTTGCCTTGCCGTCGTCGAAGTCACCAGCGTTACCAGCATCGCTACTATCATCATCGTGTCCACCGCTTTCGACGTTGCCACGATACGCGCGAACTGAAGTGCCAAACTAGCTGGCCGCTGCGCGCGAGAGCATGCGCGGGTGAGCGCGGCCGCACACATGTGCCAGCAAACTTCAAGCAACCATCGCATTTGCCACCGCATGGATTTTGTAAAACAAGATGCGGGTGGGTGGGTGGGGCGATTGCGCGAGCAGTGGAGTGGACAATTTCAAGTTTGGCAGGGTGATTTTTGTTTCAACATCAAATATGGTCGACCCCCCACTCGAAATTAACCGTCCTGGCTTTGTTTTCTTATTGCGATATTCATACGAATCTGCCCCATCGTCCATCATGTGTATAATTTTGCACTATCCAACGCAGGCCGGTATCGTGTTTCACAAACCAACAGTTTCCAACACATTTTTTGCACACACGGGACAACATGCACACGCGGGCGTCGTCGCGAGGTTCTCTGATGATTCAGAATTGAGTGTTGCCCATGTGTTTTGGATAAACAGATGGGGTCGCTTTGATTTTCACTCGAAACAAGCTTGCGCCCGCACTCTTGTCGAATTCGCCGGGCAACCGTTCCAAACGCGTGTCATAACATGCTACCAAGCGGGGTTCGCGCGAACATGTCGAAGTCGTGCGAGCGTCTCTGCGCACGCAGTGTCGCAAGGTTGTTATTGCAACATAAATGACGATGTGCACACGCGCGGCATCGTCTCCGTCACTGGCTTTGCCGTCGTCAAGGTCACCATCGTCACCAGCATCGTCAGCATCATCATCGAGTCGACCGTTGTTGACTTTGCCATGATACCGCGCCCGCCCAAGTCGCCGACTCGCACTGAAGTTCCCGCTGGGAAACGCCCAGCGAAACGTGCCACCGCGGACGCGTCAGTCGCGCCAAAGTGGCTGGCTGGCCGCTGCGCGCGCGAGCATGCGCGGGCTAGTGCAGCCGCAAACGTGCACCAGCCAACACCAAGCACTCATCGCACTCGCCGCCGCATGGTTTTTATGCAAACCAAGTTGCTTGTGGGTGGGTGGGACGATTGCGCGAACAGTGCGGTGGGCAAGCCATTGCGAACACATGTAGATGTATATACATACGTATACATCTACATCTACATCTATATATATGTATTTATATACATACATACACATACATACAGACATACATACATACATATGCCGCACGCAGTTTATTGTACCACGTACGTTGCGCAGCGCCGTCTGCAACACCAATCGAATGGTTTTCGGCCCATCCCGCTATGGTGCCTGGGTTGTGGGCATGAGGTTTGTAGGATGTTCGTGGGTATTTTGTTGGGGGTTTCCCCGGTGCCTTCTGGAGGGAATTTGGAAGCTTCTTGCGGGCCAATCGAGGGCCTCTTTGGGTATGTGTTGGGCCTCCTGGGGGCCTCTTGGAATCTCTTGGGGCCTTTTGCGGGCCTATGGGGGGCCTCGTCGTTTTTTCGGAGCGCCTCTCGGGGCCCTCTGGGGGGCATTTCGGGCGGAAGGCTCGGATGTTCGGTTCGTGTTCCCTTTTTTGGGGCACTTTTGGGATTGATTGTCGGGCCTCCCTGGGGACTTTTTGGAACCTCTTGGGCCGTGCTGGGGCCGTCTTGAGGCCCTCTTGGGCAGTTTGGGGGCCCGCTTGGAGGCCTCTCTGGGCGGTTCTGGTGGCCTGTGGGGTCGTTGGGGAGCGTCGGGAAGCAGAACAGGCGAGAACGCCAAACACCTTCAAACATCTAGGGCAAATCAGTGAGTTTGGCCTCCCAGGTTTGTTGGAGGGCCTTTGTCGGAAACTGGTACGTATACATTACCAGTGGCGGGCTGTCTTTCAATCCCACGAATTCCCGAGGGTCAAGGACGACGCTGGGGTGGTGTGGTGTACTTTTTTCCCCGATGTCCCGGGGAAACAACGACACATGTATACACCAGAGTCCCGTATACACCATGATCCGTTCCCAAGTGCAAATTTCAATGCAGGGCCGGAAAAAGCGTCGGTGTATATAGAGTTCGATTCCCAATTTTGGGCCGTTTTTGGCAAATGTTGTTCGTATTGGAGCTATATTTCGGCGACTTCGTGCCCTCTTGGTCCGTTGTGGGGCCCCTTGGGGGCCGAAGACGGCGTGAGGGGGCACTCGACAATCTCCTGGAGAGTTGGGCCGAGGGGCTCCGAACCCCTTAAGACGTCTTCAGCAGTGACGCTTAGAGGGGATTGGGCAAAGGACTTGAGGACATGCACAATCCGTACCCAGCGGCAGTGTGGCGGATAGGGTACAATATCTTTATGTATGTATGCATGCATGTGTTAGTGTATATATGTATGTATTTGTATATTGTACCATGTATACCCCACAGGGTCAATGCACTATGTAGCTGACCCCACACATATATCCACAATACTGGTCTCACCACGTATCCAGAGCACACCACAAGCACCTATACATATGTTTATATGTAGAAGTAGAGAGAGATGTACTGTTCATTAAAGATGTGTGTGTGTGTGTTGCACCACCTATGCGTATCCGCATAGTGTACACTCAATAGGTGCATACATGTGGACGTATGCCCAGATCTGAACATCGTACCATCTACATTGCACCACAAATCTTACATCGCATAACTTGCACAACCTTTCTTGCGCCACGTTATATGGTCAGAGACGCTGCTTGGGGTCCAGGTTGGCTAACCTTCTGTGTGCACACATTCTTCGCATATGTGCACTAGCAGTATCTGTCTCCCGGTCCCCCTCTCTCTCTGGATCTTCCCCTCCATGTCCCTCTCCTTCTCCCTGGCATCCCGTTTCCCCGCTTCCCTTCCTTGTCAGTTTCCCGTCCTCATCCCGCCCTTTTTTTCTTGCCCCTCCCCCGCCAGACTCCCCCGCGGCCGCGTTCGCTCGTCCCCTGTTTCTCCCATCACCTCGACGAGAGTCGTCGGAGGGGCGAGGGGCGACGCGGGGAGGAGGAGGAGGAGGAGGAGGAGGAGGAGGAGAAGGAGGAGGAGGAGGAGGAGGATGACGAGGAGGACGAGGAGGAGGGGGAGGAGCAGGAGCAGGAGGAGGAGGAGGATGGGAGGAGGAGGAGGGCGGGGAGGAGGAGGAGAGGGGGAGGAGGAGGAGGCGGAGGAGGACGGTGGGGAGAGGAGGAGGAGGGAGGAGAGGAGGAGGAGGAGGAGGAGGAGGAGGATTGGGGGCGGAGGATTGGGGAGGAGGAAGGGAGGTGGGCGAGAGGAGGAGGAGGAGGAGGAGGAGGAGAGGAGGAGGAGGAGGAGGAGGAGGGAGAGGAGGAAGGAGGAGGAGAGGAGGAGGAGGAGAGGAGAGGAGGAGGAGGAGGATGAGGAGAGGAGGAAGGAGGGGAAGAGAGGAGGAGGGGGTGGAGGAGAGGAGGAGGAGGAGGAGGAGAAGGGAGGAGGAGGAGGAGGAAGGATTGGGGAGGGAGGATGGGGAGGGAGGAGGAGAGGAGGAGGAGGAGGGAGGAGGGGGAGGAGGAGGAGGAGGAGAGGAGGAGGAGGAGGATGAGGAGAGGAGGAGGAGAGGAGGAGCGGGGAGGAGGAGGAGGAGGAGGAGGAGGAGGAGGAGGAGGAGGAGGAGGAGGAGGAGGAGGCGGAGGAGGAGGAGGAGGAGGAGGAGAGGAGGAGGAGGAGGAGGAGGAGGAGGAGGAGGAGGGCAAGTCGCCCGGACCCGCAGCCGCAGGCCCCGCAGGCATGCCCGCGGCGCCCTTTCCATCTCAGTGGGTGGGGGCGAGGGGCCGCGTCGGGCAGGACGGACAGGCCCCACCCCCAGGGAATCAGGGGTAGTGATAGGCATGGATAGGCACATGGGGAGGACAGTATCCAAAATCGCCCATGGATCGCCGATGGGGCTCTGATAGCCCCACCCCGCGCAGGAAGGTGCGGATTCGCTATCGGGGGCCTGTCGCTGATCTATCGGCGATGCATCACCGATTCCAGGTCGATGTTTCTCCCTCCTGTGCCAGTCCCCCCCGTTCCGGTGCCCGTCAGGGGGTTGTCTCGGTTCTTCTGCTTGCTTCGCCTCCCTTGCCCTTCCCTTTTCTCCCTCCTGTGCGTGACGTTGGCCAGACGTCGCGTGCACTTAGGTGTCTCAGCTGGGGATGTGCGGCGACACCGCTCTGGGGTCGCTGCCCCGGTCTGGGCGGTGCAGGGCCGCAGCGCGGATGGAGGCGCACGCGCGGATGCGGGCGCGTGGCTCTGGCGGCGGGTCCCGCTTCCGTGCCACACGGGCGCGCTCTCCCCCACGGCAGGCGGCTTAATGGTGCCACGGCCTCTCCTGCTCGGTGGATCTGGCAGCCACGCGCCAGGGGCCACGGCCGCCCAATCTTAAGCCGGGCTTGTCCCTCTACGGGAGGAATGCTCAGACATGGTCCAACAATTAGTCGGGGGACGATTTTTGGGGAGCATTTTTGGCGTACTCTCCGCCGGTAGGGGGATATGCCCGACTTAAACCAAAACCGACAGGATCCAGCATGCCAGGCACCCCTGTGATGAATCAGGGCGCGGCGGATACATCGAAGACGCCTACGGCGAATCGGGGCGCGGCGGCCATTTTGGGCCAACGTGTTCATCTTGGAGGCCATCTTCAGCCGTCTTGGAGGAAGCATTGGGGAATCTGGGCTCTGGGCAGGTGGCCTCCTCTCGACGGACGCTCTCGACGGACGTCACGAGAGAGCACGGCAGGCCCTTGCCGCGACGCGGCGGAGCTGGCTCCCGCGCGGGCGCTCTCGGGGCAGGGCGGCCGGTCCAGGACGACTGCCGCGGGGTCGGAGAGCCGCGATTCGCGCAGGGCGGAAGGGCCCACGCGGCCTCAGAGGCCAACTCTTCCGGATGCAGCTCCTGGGAGGTCAGATTCTGATCTTGCCCTGGTCTGAGATCCCGTACCAAGCCGGTTTCGTCCGGTTCCATCCGGCTTGATCTGGCTTGATCCCGCCCAGTCCGGCTTCATCCCGCTTGTTCCGCGGCCTAATTAGGCGTCGCAGCCCCCCAATGGATAATTAATCTTCCTGAATCCTTCCGACGAAGACCTCCCAGTAGTTGCCTTCTAACGCTCCAATGTGGTCACGACACGAACTTGCCGTAGGCAGAAGGAGCCCCAGGCGCCGAGTTCCGCCCGAAAGATTTGCCGCTCAGAAAAAAGGGGGAAACCTTGGGATACACCCCAAGGGGGCTATTCGAACGCACCTCGATTAAACCTTACATTTAATTGATCCATTCGAAAACCCACGCAGCCTGGAGAGGGGTCGACATCTCCCGTGTGTGAGACGAAGGTGGCGACGACGACGAGGGCGGCAACGTCGCCGGCGTCGATGGCGACGGCGACCGGCGACGGCGACCGGCGGCGACGGCGACCAGCGGCGCCCCGGAGAGGTCACCGTGGGCGGTTACCCTTCGGCGTCGGACGCCTGCGACGCCTGCTTCACGTCCTTCACCAAGCAGGTGCCGCGCCGATCGCCAGAGTTTTCAACTGATCGCTATCCCCGTCCCAATCATGCTCGCGTCGTGGAAAATCAGGACGAGAGGCGTTTCGCTATTTTCGGCCTCTTGGGGGCCCTTGCCAGGCCCCGGGGCTGTCAAGAAATGACTCGGGATGAAACTCCGGCCCTAGGGAAAGAGTGGCGACTTTCGGGGACCGCGCATTGAAAATCAGGACGTCACGTGTCTGTGTCCCCATCCACATCCACATCCGCATCCCCACCATCCCACCACCCTAGTTGGGGATGAGTTCCTCGAAACTCGAAGGGAACAGCCATATCCCCATCTAGTGGGGCAAGTCGGCCCGTGGGGCCCGGGCCACGCCAGTGGGGACAGGGATCGGTCAATCGGTGCTGGGAGTCGTGGCTCGAGGATAGAGGCGTTTTGGACGGCCTCTTGTCTCCTATCCAGCCCCTGGGGGCTTCCAGGGGCTTCCGAGGCCTCCAAAGAGCCTTTGGGAACCCCCAGGAGACTTCCGTAGGAGCGAGGCGGGAGGAGGGTAGAAGAAGAAAACACGCCATACACATCAACTTTAAGCGCTCCTCGCGGATTTTTTGGATCTGCCCCTCCCTGGCGCGCGGAGGGCGCCAGGGGCGGCGCCAGAGGCGCTGCCAGGGGGGCCCAGCGCGGATCCAGGAAGTCCACGCGGAGCGCCAACAAAAAGTTGACGTGTATGGCGTGTTTTTGTTCCCCCCTTCACACTTCGCTACGACGGTGCCCCCGTTTAGTGAGCTCTTCCGCCAGTGCAGTTGCTCTTCCGAGCCGCCGACGCAAAACAAAGGTGTTCTTCTTCTAGAGGGGGCGGGTTCCCACGACGCGCTGTCTGCACACTTTCACTCGTCAGGTGGGGCGGCAGCATCGTGGGAGTCGGCAGCGAGATCTTGGTGCCCGATCTCCGGGTAGCACCGCAATGCGACATCGCGGCGCCCTGTTTCACCTTGCTCGCGCGCCGTCTGGCGCTAGGATTCTCGCTCGCTCGCTCGCTAGCTTCTAGAGGGGGGAGGCAGCGAGCTGGGGGTCCCCGAGCGCACGGCGCGGGGGAAACACCTTCGGGCGAGACCGCACGGCTGCGGGGCCCTCGCGACGCGCTCTCCGAGGAGCTTTTCGCGGGCGACGGGGGGCCCTCCAGGTCTCGCCAGCCCCTGCGCCGACGGAGCGTGCGGCGATGTCTCTCTTGCGATCTCGAGGTCACCTCACGGTCCGTCACTCAGAGGAGGAAAGGTACCTCCTCCTCCTCCCCCTCCTCCCATACTTCTACCCTTCCCCCGTTTTCCCCCTCTCGGGCCTCCTGGGAGGTACTTGTCGCCACCGCTGGGTTCGCCTCGGAATCCTGGTCAGAGCGCACCCTGGGAGCGGTCCAGGGAGGACTTAGCGTTGTCCGTACCCTCCTGATTTCCCCAGCACGGTCGGTCAACGCACCGCTCTGGGGAGCCTCCCCATGCGAGGAGCAGTGAACGCGTTGAGGGTCAGGGGTCGGAGGGGTCCCGTGTCTCTTCTGGCTTCCAGCGGGTTCTCCTGGCCCGGGGGCGGTTCCCATCCGCCGCGCCTTGTCGAGCGCCTCCCGGTGCTGCCCAGATCGTGCCGACCAGCCGGTGCCCGGGCCATGGCTCGAAAGCCGAAGCACGGAGGAGGGGCACGGAGGAGTTGTTTCTGAAGGTTTTGGCGGCCTTCGAAGGTCGGTCCGCGTCAGGGGATGGGTAAGGCGGAGAGGACGGGGGGGATAGAAAAGAGAGCCTTCGAACAGGGGAGGAGGTGCAGGAGGAGGTAGGCAGGGATTGCATGGGGCAAGCAGATAGAAAAGTGCCGGACAAGGAGAGGGGAAGACGGAAGGGGAGGGGCAAAAGGAGGAGCAGGAGGAGGAGGAGGCGCGATTCTGTCACACGGACGGAAATTAGACGCGAAACCTTCGAGGCGGAGTGTATGGTGGAGGGCCAGAGGGGGGGTGTCAAGGAGAGGTGACGTGCGATAAGTTGTGGGCCTAGAGCCCCTTGGATGCATCTGAAGGGCTCTTGGCCTCTTGAGGGCATCTTGAGGGGCCCTCATGGAGCTTGGGGCCGTCTGGGGGCCTCTGAGGGCCTCTTTGGAAACTCCTTGGTTGGCTCTTGGGGCCATTTTCGGGGGAACGGCTTGAAATGTCAGTTCGCATTTCCTTTTGAGGGCCCTCTTGGGGCTCTCTTGGGCCGTCTTTGGGGACCTGGGGGCGTTTTCGGGATCTTTTTTGGGGCGCATGGGCCGTCTTGGGGCGAACTTGGGGGCCTTTGGGGAGCTTTGGACGCTGTCAAAACGAAAACGGCGATTCTGACAGAAATGCCGAAGGGAATGGGACGATGTTTGCCTCTTGCGGCCCTCTCGGCGGTCCTCTGGGAGCACTCTTGGGCAGTCTTGGGGGCCTCGAGGGCCGTATTGAAGCCATCTTTGACCGTCGTGTGGCCACCATAGCCCGTCTCGACGATCTCTTGGACTGTTTTGGCGCTCTGTATGGGCCGTCTTGGGGCTCTTTGGAGGCCCCAGAGTCCCCGGGGGTGTGGTGAGGAACTCATCCCCCCCGGGAACTTTATTGTTTAAGCCATCTGGAGGGGGAAGGAGGACTGTCAAATGTCTCACACGCCGATTCACCCCCTGCAAGCGGGCGAAGGCGGATTGCATCAGGGAGAAGGAGGGTGAGGATGAGGAAGGGTCGGAGGCGCATGACCCGGGTGGGCAGTGCCTGATATATACCGGCCACGGATTTCTTGTTAGAACGCGCCCCAGAAAAGGTCCGGTGAGTGGCGGTATAGGTATTGTTCGATTCCCCTAGGACGAGTGTTAGCACAATGTGTGTTCCCTCCGTTCGGCTCCACCAATAGCACGCGGCCCGTGTCGACCCCTACACCACCCACGCTTTATGAAGGGGCTTAGTGGGACAGGCACACGTTACCGCTAACACACGCTCCGGGGATCATCGGAAGGAGTCATGCGTAGTCTCTTCGGGCTCTCTTGTGGTCGTCTGTTGGCCGTCTTCGGGTCACTTCGGAGCCGCTTGGGTCCCCTGCGGCCGACCCGTCCCGCGGCTTTGTCAGACGGCTCCGCGCTCGCACCCAGAGTTAGGTCGGACATGTCCCCCTGCAGGCGGATTTTGGACGGAGAATAAAGGATACTCCAAAAACGCTCAAACATGATCGAACAATACTCAAAAAATGGTCTCCAGAGTATGTCTTGATTATTTTCGAATGTTCCTCCTGTACAGGGACAGGCCCGACTTCAACCCAGAGCCCAGAGCCGCCTTTCCGCAGGAGGCCTCGCGCACGCCCGAGGGGGAGAGGGGGTCTGCGCCTGGTGCCCTCTCCCCCGGTGTCCAGGGCTTCACGCGAAATGCCTATGCGCAACGTCCTCAGAGCCCGCTCGCACCGAGGCGCGCATGGCGTGCGCGTGGTGGTTCTACTTCAGAAAGAAGGGAGGTTACGGAGGAGGAGGGAGAGGAGGAGGGGGAGCGAGGGTGCGTCAGCAGGAGGAGGCAGCGGACGAGGTGGATCCGGAAGGAGGCAAGGGAGTAGAGAGGCGGCGGCGGAGGAGCGGGAGGGGGAGGGTGCAGGAGGGATGATGGTGCCTCCTCTCTTTCCCTCTCTCTCTTCTCTCGCTTTCTTCTCTTCGTCTCTTCTTTTCTCCCCCACCTGTCGAGGGACGGCTGGTGGTGGTGTTTCTGAGTCATGCGGATCTCGGGAGCCCGTCTTTCAGGGCGTGTCATCAACATCATCATCATCATCATCATCATCATCATCATCATCCTCTGCTGGGGTCCAGCCCCACACTTATAGTTTACCTCTGCGCGCCCTACTTGCCGTCTTCTCACGTTTTCCCTAATGAGCCCCCCCTCCGCCCCACCGTGTTCAGCCGTGGGGCGGGGGCAGGAAAGATGGCCGCGTCTGCACGGCACTTACGCCAAGAGCGAGCGAGGGCAGGAGAGGAGATTGCGAATCATGAGGATGATGGTGATGGTGGCCACACGGTGATGGTGGTGGTGATGGTGGCGGTGGCGATTGTGATGTTGTTGATGTTGATGCTGATGATGACGGTACTGATGATGATGGTGATGGTGATGATGATGATGATAATGATGGTGGTGATGATGATGTTGAGCATGATGATGAGGATGATGATAATGTTGAGGGTAATAATGCGTAAGATGATGATAATGATGACCATGACGCGGATGATGATACTGATGTTGATGTTGATGCTGATGTTGTTGCCGCTGCTGATGACGATGGTGGTGGTGGTGCGGGTGCTGGTAGTGGTGATGATTGATGATGACGATGCGTAAAATCCAGGAGATGGAGGAGGAGGAGGAGGAGGAGAAGGAGGAGGAGGAGGAGGAGGAGAAGGAGGAGGAGGAGGAGGAGGAGGAGGAGGAGCTGTGCACTCCCCCCTCAGGGCGTACCTCCCGCCGGGCCCGTCGCGCCGCACTGCGTGTGCATGTCCTACCCCGACGGAGGCCTGCGCGCGGGCCTGTGCCCCCCCCCCATCCCCCTCACCCCACTTTTCGGGTCGGGCGGGATGGGGGAGCACGGGGAGGGAGGGTTGCGACATTCTTGGCCTCCGAGATGGGTTTGGAGCAGATGGGGTCGGAGGATCGCGCCACACGGCCGGCGCATCGCCGACGCACCTCACCCCGCGTTTCGCGTTGGGCGGGATGGGGGGGAGCACGGGAAGGGAGGGTTGCGACATTCTAGGCCTCCGCGATGGGTTCGGAGCAGATGGGGTCGGAGGATCGCGCCGCACGGCCGGTGCATCGCCGACGCATCGGCGATGCGGCTCGACGCGGGGCCCGATGTTCTCCGCGCTGGCGTCGCCAGTGCATCGCCGACGTCGCCAGTGCATCGCCGATGCATCGGCGATGTGGCGCGATCCTCCGACCCCATCTACTCGGACCCCATCTAGGAGGCCTCTGGACATTTGCTGCGTGCCGTTGGTTCCGGAGGGATTGAGGGGATTGGGCGGAGGGAAGTCCAGCAGGAGGCTTCTCAGCACCACAACTGCATTCTCTTGGAAATGCGTGTCCACATGCACCCGCTGGGCAGGTCGGGGAGTCGAGCTGCAGGGAGGAGGAATGGGGAGGGGTAACCGATTAGGACGGAGGGGGAAAGAGGGAGGTGTGGAGGAGGAGGGGGAAGGAGGGAGGGGGAAGGAGATAGAGGGGTATTTGAAGGCGTGCCTGGTAGGCAAAAGTGACGCCAAGAGGAGGGCAATGGCGGAACCATCACTGGGACGGGTAGGGAGGACGAAGAGGTCGAGGAGAAAAGGTGGATGTCCTCGTTCTCGTGCTTCTCCGGCTTCTCCTCTCCTCTTTTTCTCTGCCTGCTCCCCCGTTTTCTCCTTGTCCTCCTCGTCCTCGTCCTCCTCCTCCTCCTCCTCCTCCTCCTCCTCCTCCTCCTCCTCCTCCTCCTCCTCCTCCCCCTCCTCGTCCTCCTCCTCCTCCTCCTCCTTCTCCTCCCCCTCCTCCTCCCGCCCCAGGGGGGCCCCGAGAGTGGGGTCGGGCTTCGGCCCCTTGGCGGAGGCGGGGACCGCCGGGCCCTCGGGGCGACAAGCCCCCGCACCCCGGGGGACGCCGCCAAAGTGCGGTTTCCTTCCCCCGGGGGGGTCGCCAGGTCCCGTGGCCTTCCCCAGGGCGGTGCTGGATCCCCCCCCAGCGCTTGCCGCCCTGGGGCGGGACTGGCGGCTCGTCTTCGTCGTGTCGGTCGTCCGTCTCGTGTCGTGCGTTTGTCGTTGCCGTTTCATCCCCCCGTCGTGTCGTTTCGTGTCGTGCCGCTTTTTGGTTCGGTCCTGGGCGTCCTGGGGTCCGAAACCTGGGTCCCTGGGGGCGGGCGGCGCGGCGCCGCGCGGCCCGTCCTTTGGGGCCCCCGTCGTTTTTCCCCGTGTGGTTCGGTCGGGCTCGCCCGCCGTCCGCGCGCGCGGGGCGTCGCGCCGCTGCGGCCAGCGCGGCGACACCCTATGGGCTGAAGGCTGCGCGGTGCGGAAAAAAAATCCCCCTCCTCCTCCCCCTCCCCCTCCTCCTCCTCCTCCTGGCGACTGGGGCCTCCAGGGCCACCAAACCGTGCGTTGACGGACCGTGCGGTGAGGTCTTGGGGGAGTTCGAGGTCACCGCGCGGTCTGCCACCGCACCGCTTCGGAACTCCGAACTGATCCCGAGGGGCCCTTCCCAGAGGAGCTCTCCCGGGAGCCCCCAGGGGCGCCTCCACGGGGCGCGCCCCCCGTGCGAGGTCCACAGGGGGCCCTGGCCTCACGTCGGGCATGGCGCTCTGCAGGGAGGAATATCCGAAGATAGTCTAAATATGTTGGTCGATTTGTTGGGGTATGTTTCATTTTTCGCCCAAAATCCGCCTGTAGGGGGACATGCCCGACCTAACCCTGGCCAAGGGTGGGGATGGGGAAGCCCGAGGGCGCTGGCAGACGGCGGGGGGCCGGGGCGGCGTTCCTCCCTCCTCGTTCCCTTTTGCACCTTCCCTGCCTCCTCCCACCGCTCTCCTCCCTCCCCCTCTCCCTCCCCCTCCCCTCTCCCTCCCTCCTCCTCCCTCCTTCCTCCTCCCCCTCCCCCCTACCTCCTCCCCTCCTCCTCTCTCTCCTCCCTCCTACCTCCCCTCCCTCTCCTCCCTCCCTCCCTCCCTCCCTCCTCCCTCCTCCCCCCCCCCTCTCCCCCCTCCTGCCTCATCCCACCTCTCCCCCTTCCCATCTCCCTCCTTCTCCCAGGCGATCGCAAATATGGATCAAGGAGGCGTGGATTAGCGACCGGTCCAGTTTCCATGGGAAACGGATTTCCGCCGCCGAACGGGGCGGCACCGGCCGCATTTTGGAGAGGGCACTTCCCCCGATTCATGGGCTTGGCGACCGCGCGCCAAATTCATGGATCGCTAATCCATGTTTGCGCGCCCCCGATTCCCACGCCCCCCCCACGCTCCCTCCGCAGGGGTGCCAGCAGAAGGCTGGGGAGTGCGGGCACGAGGGTGTGGGGTTTTTCCTGTTTCCCTCCCTCCTCCCATTCCTTCCCTTGTGAATTGTTCCTACCTGTCGCACCCCGATGCGGGCTGGTGGGGCGGAAAGACGAGCGTTCCGTCTGCTCACCCTTGATGATCTTCAAGCTGACCAGCGGCAACAGATTCATGGATGAATGGCGGACCGTTTTCAAAAAGTGGCTCTCGCCGTAGCGTCTCGCACATTCGTCTGAAAAATGTTACACGGGCTTCACGGTCGGAGGATGGTACCTTTTTCAAAATGTGGCGATCGCCTTAGCCCAGCGCTCAGTCATGCGTCTGAAGAGATCACAACAGTTTCAATGATTCTGATGGTTGTCGTCCCAGCGACGGTGCTGTGGCACGATTGTAGGATTGTGATGGTGCAGCGGTTGACTCGCGGTGTTGAAGTCCCAGCGATGGTTTTCTAGCCCAGTTCAAGATCGTCAGGCCGCAGAAGTAACGTTGATTCGCGGCGTTGAAGTCCCAGGAAATATGCTCCTGCACGTTTCAGACTTTCCCGACGTTTGTCCTCCAACGTGGAATTCCCCCAGTGAAAATACACCTTTGTAGTGGCCCCTGAAGAGGGAACTTGGAGGGAGTCTTTATTGCAACATCGTTGATGAGTCTTGGGTCTACACTGGTCCCGCCTCCCTCCTCCTCCCTCCACCCTCCTCCTCCTTCCCCCTCCTCCCTCCTCCCTTTTCCCCCCGTTCCCTCCACGACCGAGGTCGACCCTCGTCGCACGTCTTTGCCAACCACCTCCACCCCTCCCGCCTTCCTCCTGCTCCTCTCCCCACCCCCCCGCCCGCCTCCGAAAGGGAAGAGCTGCCGACGGATGGCCCCGGGCGCCACGACGGCGGCGGCGACACGTGGCGACCCGTGGCGGCGGGAGCGGCGAGAACTTCCGACGCCGACGGCGGGGACCAGCAGCGCGGACGCCGGCGGCGGCGGCGGCGGGTCTGCGAGGGCGGCGGCGAGGAGGCCGCGCGCGCCGCGGGGGCGGTGCGGGCGCGCGCGGCCTCGGCAGGAGAGCACACCATGTTCTGCGCCACGCCCGTGTCGGCCGCGGACTTCGTGGCCGAGAAGGGCGCGCACCGCCCTCCTCGGGCCCCGGCCCCGCCCTCCTCCTCCTCCTCCTCCTCCTCCTCCTCCTCCTCCTCCTCCTCCTCCTCCTCCTCCTCCTCCTCCTCCTCCTCCCCCTCCTCCTCCTCCCCCTCCTCCCCCTCCGCCGGCGCTGCTGCGCGCGCGGGAATAGTCAGGCGCCCGACGCGAGCGGTGCCCAGAAGCGCGCCGGCCCCGCCTCCCCACGTCGCCTTCTCTCGGCCAGCGGCGCTGGTGGTGCTGCTGCTGCTGCTGATGATGATGACGATGACGATGACGAGGACGAAGAAGACGATGATGATGATGATGACGATGATGATGAAGGTGGGTTTGATTATGCCCATGATGAGAGTGATGACGACGATGACGACAATTCCCACGACGACGACGATGGTGGCGGCTGCGGCGGCGACGACGACGATGGCGATCAGAATGCTCCTGATGATGCTGATGATGTCTGGATGCAGCAGATGTGATTGTCATAATTCGGGGTCGGCCAAAAGGGGGGTGATGACTAGAGGGGGGTGGACTTCATGGCGAGGGCCACGATATCTCCCCAGATTGCATTGGGCCTCTTCTTATGTCGATGTGGTCCTGGCCCCCCCTGGTCCGCGCACATGCCACAGGCCATGATTTGCACCCCCTTCTCTTGGACGCCACCCTCTTGGACGACCCCAAATAATGATCGATTATTTTGGCGTTGAGTTGTCCCACGTTACATGGTTTATACATCGCCAGCTCGCTCTCGCTGTCGACATTGCTTAGCCTGTTATGGCTCAACGAGTTCCCCAGAGCTTCTTTTGGATGATGCCGGTGATGTCGATGGTGATGACGATGACGATGAGGACGGTTGTGGTGATGATGACCATGCTGATGATGTTATTTCTACCTATGATGACTGATAAGGTGGGGGTGATGCTCATGATAGTGGTGGTGGTGGTGATGAGGTTGATGATGCTGATGTTGAGGATGCTGATGATGATGATGATGATGATGATGATGATGATGATGATGATGATGATGAGTGTGCGTATGTTGTTGCTTTTACTGGTGATGTCGGTAACGGTAATGATGGTGATGGTGATGCTAATGATTATGGCGATGATGTTGATGATGGTTCTGCTGATCCTGAGGATGATGACTATGATAATGATGATGACGATGCTGCTGCTTATCATGATGCTGATGCTGATCAGCCTGACGATGATGGCGAAGATGATGATGATCATCATGAATATGATGATGATGGTGATACTGAAGGTGACCATGATGATGTTGATGCTGATAATGCTGATGATGTTTAGGATGGTCATTTCAAAACGATGGCGATTATGCCGATGATGCTGAGGCGTGTGCTGATGTCGATGATGGTGGACAGGGTAATGGCGATGTTGCTGATGAGGATGTTGATAATGCTGAGGCTGATGGTCGTGGTGGTGATTATGATGATGCTGCTGATGATGATGATGAGTATGCTGCTGGTGATGATAATGCTGGGGTGATGACGACGACGATGATGATGTTGATGATGATGCTGCTGCTGATCATGATAATGCTGATGGCGGTGGGCGTAATGATGTGGACGAGCCTCATCTCCTGGCTGCGTGGCCAAAGCGTGACGCTCGTTCGCTCGATGTACCCCTGTCCCTCTTTTGTTTTCTTGGGCGAGTGCCCCATCGGGCGCGTTCCGGCTGGCCGCTTCTAGCGCTGCGCTATCTTTCGGGTCGAGCGACAAGGGGGAATCAAGCCGTGGCGAAGCGTCTTGGCGTGCCTATATGTCTACCAAAGAATGTTCTAAGAACCTTTTGTGGCTTCCGCGAACTGTTCTTTGAACATTTCTGGCTGGTATTGTCTTGTTCTAAGACATCGGGCTCATGTTCTAAGCACACTGTTTTTGCTATTGAAACGTTTCTTGGCTCTAAGAAAATTTCGTGGTAGGCTTATAGGACTGCCGGGACTGTCGGTCCCCTGCTCAAGGGAAGGGTAGCGTGGATACGACACCTGTTGCATGCAGCTGACTTCGGCCCGCCACCCTGCGCGTTCCTCGATGTATGGCCGCCTGCGGCATCGGGCAGCGCCATGGCATCCCGCTGCATCAGCTGATTCGCTGACCCTTCCTCGGCCGTCCCCGCCGTTGTCCGCTCCGGCTCTCCCTTCCACGGTGCCATCGGGTGTGAGGGATGGAGATTGAGTGGGATGGAGGAGGAGGAGGAGGAGGAGGAGGAGGAGGAGGAGGAGGCGAAGGAGAGGATGAGCTGGAGGGATGCGGGAGAGCCGCGGAGAGCCCCCCGAGCTCTCGAGCGTGAGTCTTCGTCGGCTGTGGCGGAGGATTGAACGCCGAGTGCGCTGGGGGCAGGTGGATGCCGCTGCAAGCCGCGCGACATGGAGGCCATGGGGGACACCACGTGCGAGCCGATCTCTTGAGGCTCCTTGGGGGGGATGTCTCCTCCCTCCTCCCTCCTCCCTCCGGCACGCTCTCCTCACTCTTCGGGGGGGCACTGTGCAGACAGCGGCAAATTGGCCCTTGAGGGGGGGAGGCCTCGTCGCCGCGGCCGCACGCAGCGCAGGAAACACCTGTGCGCTTGGGACCCGGGAGGGGTCGCGGGGTCGATGCAGAGCTGCTTCCGTCTCAGCTCGCCCGGCTCCGAGCAACCTCCCCTGCAACCTCAGTGTCGAAGGAGGGCATCGCAGGGAGGGAGGAGGAGGAGGAGGAGGAGGCTTCACGGGGGTTGGACGGGGTGGGCGAGGAAAGTGCCGCGGAGGCGGAGGAGGCCGAGCACTCTGAGGAGACGGAGCTGGAGGTTCCTCCTCCTTCTCCTCCGCCTCTTCGGTCTCATCGTCACCCTGATCCTCTTCACCTCCACTGCCTCCTTAGTTTCCTCGTCCTGCTGCCCCTTCTCCTCCCCTTCACCAATTCCTCTGTGTCCTCCTCGTTCTCCTCCTGGTCCCCCCCCTCCTCCTCTTCTACCGCCCCCTCTGCCTCCCTGTCTAGCTCCTTCTTCGTCGTCTCTTCCTGACACGTCTCCTCCTTCGATGTCATGCTGATCATGCGCTCTCCTTGTGGGACACCTCAAGGGAAACGAAGTCCGCTTTTCTCCATCTCCACCTGCTTCGCCTCGTCTTCCTTTGTTATCTTTCCCTTTTTCGCATCCTTCCCTCCTTCTGCTCCTCCTTGCCCCCGTCCTTCTGATATCCTCCACTGCATCCCCCCGTGTTGCTTCTGGTGCTGCTCCGCCTTCTCGTGTTTTCATTCCTTCTTTCTTCTCACCCTTTTGCCCCCCCCCCCAGCCCACCACCTCTTGATCCAGCAGTCCAAAAGTGCATCCTCCTCTCCTTCTTCTCTCATCCGCTTCCTCCTTCTCTACCTCATACTGCCCACCAGGCCTGGCGGGACTCCCCATGGTATATATGATATACGGTCAATCGATGACATAATGTCTGAGCCACCCCACATGCGTAGGTGCAGTTCTGCGGGGGTCGAGCCCATCATGGTCACCATTCAAATTATCATGCTGGGCTTGGGATCAGGTTTTGCGGAACTTGCGGGAGCTTCGCGACCCCATTGTTTGCCGAGTTCGGCAAGGAGTGTCTCAGCAAAGCCACGGGTAATTACCAGGATCATATCCGTAAGTATCCCCAAAGGTTCTGACGTGCAGATGCAGCGAAGCCGACCAGGCAAGGCGTGATGCTCGGTAGCATCAGTTTGGTAGCTGGCACAGTCACAACACCCGTACCCATCTGTCGTTGACAGTCGGTATTTCTGGACCCCGCGACACCAATACATTTTACACGCCTCATTACTTCAAGAGTCGAGCAGTTGTCGCCCAACTTTCCCCTTTCAGGTGGCGGTCGGAAGCGTGATCTGTCTCACGCACCTTCCTTCTTTTTCCGATACCGACCGATGGGCATGTTCGTCGTAATTTCTCCTGCAGGCCCCCCTCCTGCTCAATCACCTCCTCATTGCTCCAGCTCCCTCCCCTCCTGCCCCCCTCTCGTGCTAAGCGGCTCGCCCTTCTCGGTCCCCCTCTGCGCCTTGTCTGCGAGCATGGGCCTCTCCCAAAGTGTTGTGAAGGTTGAGGAGGAATTGGGGCCCTGTGGGGGCCCATGCCAAGATACACCCTGCTTGCCTCCAGGGTGCCATGGGTTCCTTGGGTTTCGATGGTTTTGTTATGGCAAGCGTGACGTCCCCACGGCAACAATCCATGGACGTCCTGGGGTCCCAGGGTTGGGTTTCATGTGGAAGGTCTCTTGGGGTCGGGCCCCTCCTGTATGGTGTTTCCTTTCACCCTGGAGGCCTGCGATCAGAGATGGGGGCGGTGCCCGTTGGCGCCCCCCCACCCCGCCCCTCGGATGCCAAGCAGGCGCCTCTTTTGGGCAGGGCTGGACCTCAAACGTTGTTTTGCTGGACTTCGCCTGTGTTTTGTTTTTGCTGTTTGGGGAGGGAGGGACATGGAAACAGAAATGTAGAGCAAAACGAAGCACAAAACAAAAACAAATCGAACAACAACGATTAGGTCCAGCCCTGCTTCTTGGCGCTCTTGAGGTGCTCTTGGGGCGCTCTTAGGCCCATCCGGTCCTCGGGCCACGTTGGAGCCATCTTAGGACCTCTGGAGCCTATCCAGGGCTCGTTTCGTTTCGATTCGACTCGATTCGGTTCGATTTCGACGGCTGCCGATTCCGATTCCACTCCGCTCCGGATTCCGATGTGGGCTCCGATTTCCTAATGGAGGCCTACTGGCCTGCCAGTTTCCGCCGATTCGCTTTTCCCGACTCGGCTGCCGATTTCTTCCGATCCGATGTATTTCGATTGCCGATCCGACTTATCGATTCGATTTTGGGCTCTCCTGCCTTTCGGAAGCGAAACGGCGGGAAGGCAAAACGCGTTGACCCTTGGTATTTGAATGAGTTGGGCCTCTCGGGGGTCCGCGGGAGACTCCGTGGCCATTTGTAGCCATCTTGCGACGGTCATGGCGCCCCTTGGAGGCATGTTGGAAGTTGTCTGGAGCCATCTTGGGTGATCTTCTGTGATCGTGGAGGCCATACTGGTCTATCTGAGTCCTGTTGGGGCCATACTGGGCATCCTAGGCGCAGGGCGAGGGGGGATGGGGAATAGGCCAACCCCTCCTCCAAGAGAAAGAAGAGGACGGAAGAGCTAGCTCGCTAAACCACAAAGTGTTGACGGGATTTGCCAGTGGGCCCTGGAAGCGACAGGGCAATGTTGTTGTTGCGTTTTGGGTACGACTGTTTTCTTGCGACCGTGATGGGAAGTATTTTTCAGTCTCCAGCGCCGTGTGTTGGATGCTTCTGGCAGCGTTGTTTTGCCGTTGTCGTTCCCCTGGTGGGGCCGTGTCCAGATCATAGCTTTTCATCGGGTCTGAGCCGTCTTCCAACCGATTTCGAACGTCTTCCGGATCCCCGGATTACTCAGGCCGTTTCGGTGAATTGCTTTTTCTTGTTCCGGTAATTTAACGTTGTTCTCTTTATGGGCAGGACTCATGACGATGAGACATTTATTGTGATGAAAGCGGTCTAATCTGCCCTGCTGTTTCCAGGGCCCATTGACTTGTGGGAGGCTTTTTAGAAGCCTCCGTTCCATCCACGGAGGCCGACTACATCGCCCCAGCTCTGGCTAAAGTTCGTTGACACCTTGTCCGGGATTCCTCCTCCGCCGCCCCGTCTTCGCACGCCAGAGGAAGAAGAAGACCAGGGGGAGGAGTAGGAGGAGGAGGAGGAAGAAGAGGAGGACCAAAATGAGGGCGACGATAACGCAGTACAGGACGAAAGGGATGATGTGGAAGAAGAAGAACATGAGGCGGATTATGATGATGATGGTGATGATGATGCTGATGCTGATGACGATAATGACGATCATGATAAGGATCTGGATCATGATCATGATCATCATGATACTGATGACGATAATGAGGATGATGATCAGGCTGATGAGGCTGATGATGATGATGATGTTGATGCTGATGGTGATAATGCTGAGAGTTTGATGATGTTGGTGTTGATGATCCCGATGGTGACGATGATGACGATCATGATTATCGTGATGATGACGATGATGATAATGATGATGATGATGATGATGATGATGATGATGATACTACTACTGATGATGATGATGATGATGATACTACTGATGAAACTGATGATGCTGATGGTGACCTTTACATGATGAGGTTGATTATGATGATGACGATGATGAGGAGGATGATTAGCATAAGGTTGCGGATGGTTCTGATGATGAGGATGTTGAGTATGATGATGATGGTGGTGATGATGGCGATGTTGCTGGTGATGTAAATGCTGATGCTGCTGCTGATGATGATGACGATGGGGATGCTGCTGATGCAGATGATGAAGAGGATGAGGATGACTAGGATTACGACGGGGATGCTGATCAGGATGATGGGGATGCTCATGCGGAAGGGGATGACGATGTGGATGGTCATGAGGGTTCTATAGGTGATAATGATGTTGATGATGATGCTAATGATGAGGATGGCGATGATGATGACGACACTGATGGTGATGATGACGATGACGATGATGAGGATACCGATGTTGATTATGATCTTGATGATGCGAGAGAGGGTGACGATGATAATAAGAAGATTATGATGATGCCGCTGCTGATGCTGATCACGAAACTTATGACGATGACGATGATTTTGGTGATGATCATGATGATGATGTCCATGATACTGATGCTGCTGATGCTCATGATGCTGATGCTTATGCTGATGCTGATGATGGAGATGATGCTGATGATGATGCGGGAAATGATGAGGATGCTCTCATGAGGATGATGATGCAGATGATGATGACGGCGATACTGATGATGATGATGATGATGATGATGTTGATGATGATGTTGATGATGCTGATGTTGTTGATGATGATCATGATGGTGATGCAGCTGATGATGATGATGATGACGATGATGGTCATGATGATGATGGTGCTGACGATGATGATGATGACGATGGATAGGAGGGGGAGCAGGAGGACAAGGAGGATGCTGATCATGCTTATGAGGATGAAGATGAGGTGGAGGAGGAGAAAGAGGAGGAGGAGGAGGATGAGTTGGAACTGTAAGTCGGTGGAGGAGGGCCAGGAGGATGCGAGGGACGACGAGGCGTGGAAGTTGACGAGGATGCGTAGAGCTCTTGATCTTTTCTTTCAATTCTGAAGTTGGCGCTTCCGCGGTGGCAGCATGAAAGAGGGCGCATCCGGGAAGACAGAGAGAGAGAGGATGCAGTCTAGGTGGATGAGGTGGTGGAGGCCCAGGAGCATGTTGAGGACGGCGAGGAGGTGGAGGAGGTGGAGGATGAAGAGGTGGAGGTGGAGGATGAGGAGGTGCAGGATGCGGAGGACAAGAGGACGAGCCGAGAAGGAGGAGGAGGAGGAGAGGGAGG